AGAAAATTGCTTGGGACGGTTTTTTCGGTTTCTACCACTTTTACAGGACTCCTGTTCAAAAATCTGAACGATCTGGGAGGTCCAAGACGATCTTTTGAATGCCTGAGTTCAGACCACCTGCCACCTGGAATCTTCTTGAAATGAAGACGTTTCATTTAGGGTGTGAAGGAATCATCCAAAAACATGAAAATAACTTGAAGTTTCAGTATTTTTTCTTTTGTCTAATTTCATAATACGAAATAGTTTGGCTGAACTGAATTGGTCCCGTCATTGAAACTCATGTGCTGACTGAAGTATACTATTACTTATGAATGTTATGAATAATAAATATTTAAATGTTGTGTTTATTTAAATATTGTTTAATATGTTTGCTTAATATTTAAATAGTTTATTGTGTTTGTGAATTTAATGGTTTGTTTATTAATGTTGCTTATTTAATTAACATTTTAGTATAATTTAATACAGGAATAACTTTTGGCGCATTAACGGATAAACTTCGCTACAAAATGGCCAAAGATGAAAAATATTACGAAGAAAATTGAAAAAAAGAACAGCAATATGAATAATACAAAGAATTTATTACAATTTCGGAAATTAATAAAGACGATGAAATCTCTATTTCAAATTCAAAAAATTATTTAAAACAAATGTATTACTATAAAAATTGTATTACAGCACGTTTTGTTGTTTTAGTAAAATATAACTAATATTCGATGGCATATAAAAATTTATGCTTAGCAATTAAATTTATTTTAACTTTTTCATGCACTCAAGTTCGTTGCAAAAACATCTTATCAAAATTAAAATATATTTTAAATTGTTTACGTAGTTATTTATCATAGGAAAAACTTGACACTTTTTATTGATGAATATAGAAAAAGATATTGTATTTAGTACAAAAAGTATACATTATGGCATTTAAACTGAACTTCGCTCAGAATCGTATATATATTATATTATATCTTACCTTCCCAACTTTTTATCTATACTAGTAGTATACCCATTAGCAGTATTAGTTAAAAAAAAAAAATAAATAAAAAACAACATAAATAAATTTATGTTGGGATAATGATAATTTTAATTTTTTTTTGTAGAATCCTGTCTTAAAATAACAATCAGTTTGGTTGTTATAGTAAAAAAATTGTATACATTTACAATGTTTAATCAGTTTTTGATAAAAAAAAAATAATATGCTTCCATTACATTTTTAGGAAATTGTAATATTGGATTATCGAATGAAAAGCGTGAAAAGGTTAATGACATGTACCCAATACCCAATGAGGATATTAACAAATTCGGGAACAGAATAAACCGTCAAAGGTTCGAAGGTGACGTCGTAGACACCCATGATAATAGGCAAAAACCAATCGCATGTTCATGCCACTGTTTCCCGCGCACCCGATTAGGGGTATATTATAATATTACCTGAAATGGTCGGCTCGCCGAACCGAAAGATAAGTGGCGCAAGACTCAAGACATATTTATGTGGTAATAAATGTGTATACAATCAGTGGCAAGCCCAAGAATTTCCAATGGGAGAGGATGCAATCGCGAATATTAATCGTAAATAAATCCTATAGAATCATTTTTCTATACCTGACTAAACAATGTGAATTTCAAAGCCGGGTCTACAACAAACAGATTTACAATCGATAAATCGAGATTTTCATTTTAATTTGGCCGAATAAATAATAGTTAAGTAATAATTAGCCATACTAAATAAATACCTACATATTATATTACGTATAGCTTTTGTGTTCAAAAGACCTTGAGAGTCTTAAAATCACTCCATTTGCTCACGCCATACTGTGTACATCATAACAATAGTATTATTGTTATTATAATTAAAATCTATTTTATTTTGCTTTGGGATATATTGAAATAATATTCGTTACGAATATCGCATTTAAATATTGATTCTAATAATATAATATAGCTAATATAGGTAATGCATAAATCGATTTTAAGAAACAATGATCTTGCACACGGTACATCTTTGTTTCTCATAAGAAAATTATATTTTGTGGTTGTACTATATAGGTACTTATTTTGTACTCCATAATATACTTGATTCAGTATTTAAGTGTGATTTTATGCGATGAACATTATTTTGATATCCTATTTGTTATGGTGTACAGGTTTCATCGGCTCAGGTTTTGGATGTTCTAAGTGCACGAAAAAACGCTTATAATTTCGTTCAATTTCAGTTTTTCCAAAAACTACGAATATTGTGGTTAAAGAATGCATAATTTCATGGTTACACTTAGTTACAATAGTTATTACGGTGACGTAATAATCGCTGCAGTCTTGTCAATATTATATATTTTATTTTTTAGATGATAATAAGGAATTTTGTACGAAAAAAATCAATATTAAATCTGTTTAATAATAATATAATGTAAATGTTTTGGTTCCCGCCTAGTGATTGTGATTCTATAATTTACTTCGCTTTGCTTATAGGAATAATAATAATTATAATAATACCACTCCTAGAATAATAATAGTTTTCACTATAGTTTTTTTAGGTTTTTAAACTTAAGTTCAGACACCATATATCCCCGTTATATCCATCTGTAGTATATAGTTACGATTGTTCATTTTGGTTGACGCTCCGTTTTAGTTATCAATACATAGTTACGATATTATTAATTTAATATTTTAAACTGGTACGGTGATAGGTTACGAGCACCATTTATTCGTAGTAATAATAAAAAATAAATTGTATTCTGATTAGAGTCTATTCGATCCGTAACGGCATTTACTTAAATTAATTAAGTTAATAGGCACATAAAAGTCACCAAATTATTTTACACTGTAATACATTGAATGTTTAATATTTGTTAAATAAACGATAAAGATGATGTAGTTGGTACATTTACCAGTTCTTTCTTAAATAACATACATCTATTTAACAGTGTGGCTACCCAAGTACGTCACACCTTAATTCACATATTAATTACGCTTGTCGCCCACATATAGGTACTCTACTTCAAGCTATTGTGGCGGTAAAGTGGGAGTCGTTGATGTAAGAGAGCAGAGAGCATAAAGGCACCAAATGCGTCATTCATTTTCTTACTTCTCTGGGTTCGCCCAGCAGAATAACTTACATTTTGCTCACTCACTTCCAACTTATCTATATTCTTCGAAACCTATACAACAGTTGCAGATACCATTGTATACCCTCTATAAACTGGTAGTTGTATTAACTGTCACTTTGTTTTTAACATACATCTAAACGTGTTTGATAATTTTCTGTCAATATACGAAAAGCTATATACAACACATTGCCATCGAATGGCTTGAGTACAACGCAGCGTGTAGCGATTGCGGTCGCCTGTTGGAACAAACAGTTATCTATGTACATTTGAGAGGTACCGAGTGCACTGAATAAAATATCAGTCTCTCATTTTAAAAGATATCCACGTCTATTTTTCTTGGTACACAAAATTAGTGCGCATTATTACAATGAACTTGGTATTTGGTTTCACCATTCCTATATGTTTGGAATTATGGGTGTCGTCACTATTGTTTTACCATAGATTGTGTTTATCTCTCAAATAGTGATATATAATATTTTGGGACGTAGACAGACAACTATACATAACATATAGTCATTGAGCACGACCCAACATATCATCTTTCGTGACACACAGTTGTTTATACGTTTGGAAAGGAACAGGATGACATAAACGATAGTATTGTCCGTATACCTGGTTGCCGCGTTGTGAGCCTATGGCATAGAGTATTCACGTCTCTATTGAATATCTAACGAGGTGCACACATTCCGATAGGATTTCCTTTCAGAAAAAGTGCGATCATTGTAAATCGGAGAAAAATTGCTTGTAGAAAAGTTGTTCATGGCTAAAAAATAAAAATAATGAACTTAATTGTTTTGCTTAGAATCTAAAATTAATATTATTCATGAAAAATTAATATGATTTAAATAAAGTTTATCGAGATAAGTAAATATATCATCTAAGATAACCAATAAATAAATGGCACAATAGTTTTCTAGATAAGATGATAGATGAGTAATGTTTTATCTAGCTAAGTCTCAACACTGATTACATTACGAGGCCATTCAGAGTCTCATCTTGTCGATTACTTATTGTGACAGTTAAAATATTAAAAGATCAAAAAAATGCTTGTCATTGGCAACCGTTTTATTTATCTAGGATTCTGAGTGGAACGAGGAATATATTGGTTTTATAATGGTGTTTATTAATTTTTTATGTGGGTAACTTTTCTACCAGCAATTTTGAGGCGATTTACATTGATAGCACATTTTCTGCGAAGAAATTTAACAAAGACGGTACCTTAAAGGGGTAATGTTTTGATTTCCTCAGCTGTTTTCATAATGAATGGGGAAAATGTCAATTTTTGGATTGTTTTGTTAACAAGGGAAAAAAATGACTAACAATACTCTACTCAGAATCATTTTTCATCAGTAATTGTATATTGTTGCGTAAATTTATAAATTAAATATATCCTTTTTTCTATAAGTTTCCTCCTAAAACAATGGCACACCCATCAGCAGTATCAGCATTTTATTATTGTGTTCCAATAATATTTATTAATACTATATAGACAACCGTATATTACAAAATAACGGTACAGATTTTCAAAAAAAAAAAAAATAAAAAATAAAAAATTACATAATCCACATGATAATAAATAATATAGTGACCACTTTCGTTGAGGTAGGTATATTACATACAATATATAATATAATTATGACAATATATAGATCAGAAAATATATAATATATTATGTTTTTCGTATTTTCAAATATTTTTCATATACATGTAGTGGAAAACGAAATTATAATTTATGATATTACAATAATAATAATTTTGATTCATTATATTATAATATTATTACATACATTTTTTTTTTTTTTTTTTTTTGCAAAAACACAACTTAACATAAAAATACAGGTAGATATTATTATAATATTAATATGTCTCGCGATGGAGACATATTATATGAGTACAAAAAAAAAAAAAAAAAACCTTTTGATACAACAAACAAAATACACAGAGTTATTATCAAATACGAAGAATACGGGCCACTCGCATTTCACTTGGGGTTGTCTGTTTAAGAGGGCGTGATGTGATCAGTAATTTGACTATAAAAACAGTTTTGTGCGAGAAAAACTACTTGTACTACGTAAAATTGATTTTTTTCCGGTATTACCAATACAAAAACAGTTATTATTGTTTAAAAATCTGATGGTTTTAAGTTTTTCAAACTAGAATATCTTATTTCGTAATAGTGTTATCGAAAATGTATTACTAACGTTGCACAGTGCAAGTTTTCTTTGTTTTGTGGTGAAAATTTGGTTTCTTTACCAAGTCCACATACTGAATAGGTATAGTTTGTTAATTTCACAGTTACAGAATACAATAATACATACTTGTGAAAATGAAACAAGACTACTTGTAAATGTTTTTGGAAGTAAATTTTAATTAGTGCCGGCGTTACATATGTCGACGCCCTGGGCGGAACCATGTTTTTGGGTCCTTTCTCTAATTAATCGAGTACAGTTATTACCGTTGAGGCACCCTCCTTACAGCAGGGCGTAGGCCCTGGTCGTTCACCTCTAACGTCGGTCCTGATTTTAATATTATTGAGTTGATAAAATCTCCACTAATCATTTAACTTAAGTACAAGTGGTAGCATGTATTTTTAAACATAATTTTACAATGTGTTTTTTGTGGTAAGGCGTAAGGGGCTATAAAGGCAATAGTCGTCATATCGTAGTGTTATTTTGCAAAAAATAAAATTTACCCAGAGTGCCCCGTATTCCGGATCTACGGTATTTGGTATTATTTAGACAGTATTTTGTCTTACACACAGTTGCTGTTATAAATACGAGTTGAGAATTTCTCGTTATATCGGAAGAGCGCCGAACATACACGCACATTTAAAATACACGTTTGAACGACAAAAAAAAAAAAAAACAACACAAAAACATAATATGTCGGTCTCAAATTACGCGAGCAGGACAACACTGTTGTTTGCGAAATAATGGAGTTTGTAAAATAGGTATATTATATATTAGTATTTACACGGTTTACGGCATCATCGAACTAATAGAAGATATAATATGTAATATATAAGAGGTTAGGTAGGTCATTTTCGCGGAACAATATTATGATTAGGTACACTTCGAGTGACCGTGGCCTTGTCGTGACATGACGCGTATAATATTACAATATACAGGAACGTTATCTTAACGGTACACACGTTATTTTTGTTATTGTTGATCGTCAAACCTTTTTTTTTTTTCAATGAATATACACTGCCTGTCCAATTTCCCCATTCCATCGTTAAAAAAACCAAAAGGGTCGACGACTATACATAGTACATATACTTAATATAAAATTGTTCAGTAGGTATACATATAATATTTAATATTTATTTTATGTGATGGGCACATAGCAGTTAAAAATCTTTGTCCACTGGGCGTACATTGGACTTCGTCGTGTGGACACGGAAAACCTTGAAAAATGGTCTGTTCTCGTCCCATCTCTCACGGGAAAATATATTTAACGCGTTTTGTTTGCAAAACTAGCCCTCCCATTTTCTTTATAACTAATTATATTATTAAAAAACGTATATTATGGTAATAAAATAGTAAATCATTTAAAATGAACGAGTGAAATATTATAACTACGATAATTAAATTATTTTCGTTGGGAAAAATTCGGAGAACAAAGGGGGAGAGGAAACGAAGAAAAACAACAACCGTTTTCCAAAGTCGGTGGACGCGAAAAAAGGGCCGGATAAATATTGTTTTTGAAAATTGAAACTTTACTAGAGGCACTCAATAAACAATATTCAATTTTACACCAATAGTTTTTTGTCACACTCGATAGAATAAGTGAACAAATTATATATAAAAAAATAATATTCAAATTTCGAGTGTGAGCACACGAACGGAAATTGAAATTTAAAAAATTCGGCTTCGAAGGTGATCTGGTCGGAAATCGCGTGATCAAACAAGATTGATCGAATCCGGTCGAATAGATTTTTCGTCAAATATCATAGGTAGGCACTATTGGAAATTCAAGGTTCCTATCAATATTTAAATACAGGCATGAAAAATAAAAATTAAATTTTAGGTTTTATTTTTTATTTTTTGAGCTATACCTACGCACCTTTTACATATTTTAGTATTTTGACCAAAAAAACCATTCGATCTCGGCGTACAATGTCCGTTATACGACCCTTGAAACGAATTCGCCCAGGGTCCCCATTAGTTCAAATCCGTGGACGTCTTCGAGACAACCCGGGCACCCTTTTCAGGCGGTACCGATATAATATTGGAAGACCATGTAATAAGAATAGGTTTTGAACCTTCTGCGGGTTAAACTTGCAGGGGTCAGGCGATTGTGGTTGCGGCGAGGAGGTATCATGAGGTCGGGTTACAGGGCATACGGCTGGGCGCCCGGTCGAGGTGGCTGTTTGAGTAGTCCTACGTAGCGGGCCACGTGCCGGCACTTGGACACCACCTCCTCCTGGACCAGCGAGAACGACATGGCGATCAGGACCAGGCCAAACAGCAGGTAACCGCAACAGGCGACCAGTTGCAGTTGGCCGTTCTGCGTGTCAGTGCCCTGGAACGACTTGCCGGGCACCAGGTCGCCGAACCCGATAGTGGACAGGGTGACGAAGCAAAAGTACGCGCCGTCGATGAACGTCCAGCCCTCCCAGGCGGCGAACACGGCTGCGCCCAGGCAAATGTAGCCGAGCAGTACGAGAAGTACTAGGGCTACAGGAACGCCAGGTGGCGCGGCGTTACGCCTCGATCTTTTGTTCGCAGCAGCCGCGGCTGCTGCTGCTGCAGCTGCAGCCGCGGCCGCCACTTCGCGATGGTAATGGTCGGCCGTGGTTTGTCGCCGGTCCTTGTCCGCGCGTCGCTGTTGCTGTTGACGGCCACCGTCGCCGATTAACGGCACTCGACTGGGCGTGCCGTGCGCTCCATTGTACATTTGGCTGCGGAAAACAATACACACGAAAAAATCAATGGCGTTAAATGTTAATTAATGTTAGGTGGTCTTATCTGAGGGGGTCCATGGTGTTTCTAAAAATCCTAATCGGATGATTTTTTCGGAATTCTGACGTTTTTACATCAAAATTTACTGGCTTTCGGTTGACAAATGTATTTGTTGATCGTCAATGATCATTCCTATTAGAAGCAATGATTTCAAGACTTCCAGTTTCTGCCATAGGTCAAAGTTAATATTATAGAAAACAACTAGATAGCTGACTGTATGACTGAGTTCTATAAGATATTAATATATTATAAATAGTTACAAACTATAAAAGCCAAGAAGGCACAACTTATTAACTCACAACAATTTTGATTATGCCATGATTATTATATATACCATGTAAGACGAAGAAATAATTTGTGATTTATTTCGAATATTTTTCATATTGTTGTAATATAATAATTCATGGCATAAATAAAATATTCCGTGGGTCAATCAATACAATCTGTCTTCTTGTAGTATGTGGGGGTGCTAATAACTTCAAATTTACTCACAGTATTGGCTAGTTGTTTTAAATATCTATGGCGGTCAGGTCCAGAATAACGTATATATCTAGGGCTAGGTTAGGCAATGATAGGGCTTTTTTTATCAATACGTACGAACATTCCAAATTAAGCATATTAAAATATTTAAAATAATATAGTTTTGAATCATACATTTATAAAATTAAAATCATTGATTGACCGATGAAGTTGTAACAATAGCGTTTAAAATATACTTAAAAAATCACAAAATTAGATGAAACCAAAACGGCCATTGATGAGAAATATTTTTGTAACTTTAGATGCTTAAATTTCAAGGGTGACGTGACAAATTGATGTAGAAAACCTCACATTTGGTATTATCTGTTAAAACTACCACTGTTAAAGAAACAATTGCAATGGAAATCAAATAATAAATTACCTAATTACTATATTCGTAGAACTAGTTTTATTGTTGGTATATGTTTAAATCCAATATTAAAGGTTAAAAAAAAATTATGTGTCTAGGGTTATTCTTGGGACTTCACGACTTAAATGGCAAAAAAAAGAGACGTTGCGGTAAATAAACGAAAATCCAGTCACGTGAAAATACAAAACGAGCCGTGAATTTGTAGGTACTCGTGATACGAACCGTAGTACGTCTAAGATTATAAAAAAATTCGTGTATATTATAATTGTTATTATTGTATGCTCATTCTATATCACTGGTGTGATTTCGTTTGAATACGGTATGCAAAAATAAATCACTGTAAACAAAAACAGCGATTCTGAGTAGAGCAGTATAAGTCATTGTTTTCCAAGATTTTCCATTGTTGTACTAAAAATAACCCAGAAATTAACAAAAGTAAACCAACAAAAAAAGACCTAATAGCAAACTGCTGAAAAATTCAATAAATGATTGAAATAAAGGAGGTACTACTAGGCAGTGCACATATCAATGATTGGAAATTTATATATCAACTATACTTTTAAATATTGTTGCTGTTATAATTTAATTTAAAATACGATTATACGTTGTTAAATATCAAATACCATTTTTATCAGCAATTATTTTTTAAAAAGATTGAGAAAATTTTCCATCCTTCCAAAAATTGTCTTAATTTTACTCGACGTTGAATTTGCCACGGGCATCCATTGGGGAAAAATATTTCTTTCTATTGGAGAATATTAAAACCCAGAAACAATTGTTGTTGTTGAACAGCACATGGTTTAGAATTCTAGACGATTATTGATTCACATTCCTACGTAATGCACCTATATAATTCTATAACATTTTTCACAGGTCTTAAATCTATATAATATCTATCTATAATCTATATACTATTCTTCAGATGTGTGTTTAGGAACCTGGTCACAGTTTTTCCCCTCCTGAATATTACATTATTTTCACCATTATTATTATTTTTCGTGGGTTTTTTTTCGATTGTTTTAAGAACCGCAACACAGCATTGCGATTTTTGCAGGGCATCCGGGTTGGAATATACCTTCGTGTAATGGTTTTGAGAGCGTATAACGAATACAAACGATCATATTTAGAGAACCGTTACGACGACGGTGGTGGACATAAGACCCCGAAAATATATCAAAATTCGTACTGACATGAGAACGAGCTATATAAACGATATTATAATACGTTTTATACGCAACAGTGGTTATGATGTTTTAGTGTATTATACATAAATCTTTGTCCGATTCTCTGAAAATAACATTGCTTGACGTTATGTGGTGAACAAAACATAAAGTTATTATTATAGGCATTGAGTGAAGTGGATAGAATGTATATCGGCTTCATTTTATTATGATGTGAGCTTTTGTATTTAGTTGTAAAAAAAAAGTAGAACGCAATAATATGAAGTAATTTATTTCAATAGTGCTTAAAGTTCAAATAATTTGTGTTTGTCTATTTACATGTTTTTGACGAGAAATCTTGTTCCAATCACCAATATCAGGGTTGGCGTTAGATAGATAATTTTATTTAGTTGACGCAAGCAAAAAACGCTTAATTTTTTTGGTAATCTTCAATGATAGTCATTTTCTTGATAATGGAGATAAACCAGTAAGAGTCGTCCGCAGAAGAAAAGAAATATTAATGATTTCTTTTACTTTCGATTTCTTTCGTTTATGTAGTAAAAAGTAATTGCGTGAACTTGAAATACTTAACATTTCATAGACAATATAAAATTAAAAAAAAATGTTCTGACAGTTTTTAAGCTATTAAAACCTATGTAAAATTATCGAGGTTTTTTTATATATAGATAAAAATGTTGCAATTTATTTTTATTAGGGTATTGAATATAAATTTTGTGCTAAAATTCGTTTAAAACAATTATCGTTGTTTATTTTGTAGTCGAAAATTAAAATGATAATGCTTAAACTGTCAATATACTACAAAAAGTAATATCTAACTGATCACCACTTAAAATCGTTTACAATGACTAATGACTTTTTAGATTTTGGGCGTAGCAAGGATTGTACTAGTTTTGTTATGATATATGCATTTTTTTTTCATCAGTTTTACAACTATTCTACCAGGAACCTTCATCTGATTTTAAAATACTGCATCTTTCCAAAAAAAAAAAAAATAAAAATATCGGTGCATTAAGGAGGTCATATTTTGATTTTCAATAACTAATGGTTTCATTATTTTCGATTTGTTTTTTTTTTAAATTGGTTAAAATTTACCGTAGTGATCTCCACAGAACATTATATTAGCTTATTTTAGACGTTTCAAATGCTTGCAAATTTAACCATGAGGTTCACCATTAGTGGAACTTAGTAGGTAAAGAAAAAAAGATTTTTTTTTAATAAGCGTTTTAAGTTTTATTTTTTACGAAGATCGTAAAAATCAGCGAATTTCCAAACATGTTTAACCGAAATTCGTTAAGAATAACTTTTCGCGTATCGTTGCGTACATAAATAAATAAAACATATCTATGATATCCTAAAACCCCATATTTCTATCTCTACAACAGCGGCACACCCGTCAACTGTATTATCTATTTTTTTGTTATTTAGTATACAAACATTTTTAAAAAAAATCATCGATTTCGAAATCATACAATTTGCCGTTAAACTTATGATATGTAATAAACGAGAGCTGTACCACACGTTCTTGGAAGATCGGTTTCCGCCTCATTAAATAATATACACAGTTCACATACAAACACACACACGTTTAAGTGAAAATAACTAGGTTATATTACATGGATATCGCGGATGTGTTTATTAAAAACTTTTAGCCGTTTTACGTGATAATGCGTTTGAAGTATATTATTGTAGTCACGTGTACGTAAACGCGTATTTCCGGAGGATTTCCGGTGGTTGGGTTTTCGTAGATATAGAAACAACGGCAGACGGGAAATAATTATTATGCATTATTTATCTATATTACGACTCGGTAGTCGCACTAGGGGACCTCGGCGCTTCATGTAGGCAATATCGGTACGTCGATGCATTAAGACTAATGAAAAAAAAAAATATATATAATTAAAAATATTAATATATTATAATACAGAATATTATAGAAATAAATGGCGATATGTAAACTCTATGGAATACGAATTGATTTGTGGAATTTGTTTTTCTAATGTCAAAACCTTGGGTTTACCGGGTATATTTATAAAAAATCCATAAAGAATACAAATAAATCATATCAGAGAAATATATGCAAAATTCTCTTTAAAAAAAAAACACTCACTCGATATTTTACTATCAAATTCATCGTATTTCTCTATCAGAATCATTAAATTACCACTAAAATAAAAAATAATCAATCAAAAATGTACATACAAATTCATGTCATACTAAAATTACGATTTTGGACACGAGAAACCAAAAATGACGGGTATGATGATCACTTTTGGAAGCTAGTAATTTTTTTGTTAAAATAATTTTGCAAGATATTCTCTGGTATGATTTATTAATAATTTTTATGGACATTAAAACAAATAAACTCAGTAAAGTCAAGGTTGATATGAAACCAAAATTTCAAAATTCATTAGAGCCTCGTGTTGAGGATTATTCCGTAGAGTTGGACATTTGTTTTTGGAATACTCTGTATATCCCGATTAAATAACGCGCTGTGAGATATATATTTAGAAAAGCGGAAAGTCACGAAAAGTCATTAAATACATATTGTACTGGAAATAAAGTACAATATTATAATAAATTAAAAATATTGCATGAAATGCGGTTACCGTTTGGAAATGAAATACGATAAAAAAGATCATCTCTGAAATGTCTAAGAATTTTGTTTACTCTCAAATATATACGGTGAATTTGCGCATTATAATTAATTTCGTACCGTGAAACTATTGTATGTAGTGTTTGTTACATTTTGTATCATTTCTTGCAATAATTTTCATCAGTAGTGTTTTAGTTTACCATATAACTGTTTTAAGTTACGTTAAAACAGTAATTCCCAACCTTTTTGTTATGGAGACCCACATGTTAACTCTTTTTTGTGTAAACGATCCTTATTAAAAAAAGCTGCTCTAGGATAATGTGGGTACAGCCACCGTTGTAGGTGGGAGTTGGGAAGGTAAGATACAGAAGGGAATTTAATTTATATCTATTTATTTAATTTATAACGATGAACCATTGCGAAATAAAAACCGATTCTGAGCAGAGTTCAGTTAATAGTGACGCTTTATCAACAATATATATATATATCCTATTATGGTTAAATAATAAAATAGGAATTATATATTTTCTTTAATATTGTACCGATTTTCCCGTTTTATCACATTTGCTCGGAAAACTCTTGGAAAAATTAAAAAATGACCCTTATAAAGTATTTTCCTAGTCGGATTTATTTTCAGAAAAAGTCCTATTATTGTAAATTGGAGCAAAATTGCTGGTAAAAAAGGTGTTCACATGAAAAAAGAAGGCCGTAATATTTTTTTAACTTATTCTCATATTTTGTACATTTTCAGTTTTTCCTAGGCTTTTTTTTTCGATTTTTTGCATTTGCTTATTTCCTTATTATTCTTATTAATATATTTTTTATTTTTTCTATTTTATTATATTACGACCATTAACGACGTTAATACGTTATACGACGTATAACCAAAATATTTTTCTTTCATCGCGACATATCAAAAATATTTCGTGACCCATAGGTTGGGAAACATTGAGTTAAAATATTATTTTGTATTTTTGTATATTCAACATTAACAAATATTAACTTTTCTCCTGGCTTATTTTGTTTTAATCCTCTACTAAGTACCTCAGGTGATATTTTGATGCTTGTACAATGTAAAATGTACATATATTCATTTTAATAGTCACCATTAAAATATTTTAATAAACTATTCGTACACGATTTTATAATTTTTTCCAATTTTTAAAATGTAGTCCACTGTATAGTTCGACTACGTTACACCAAAAGGAAACTTCGGGTGTATTTTTAATAAAATCAGCGGATCATGCGAAAAAATATTATAACAATTACAAAGTTTGTGTAACTTCAAAATAGCGAATAATTTTTAGGAGAAATTTAAAAAAATACTTTATATGAATACACGAGCTTTCTTCAATGCGAACATTTTTCGTTGTATTTTCATCAGCACTTTCGTGGAATAATACATTATTATTTGTCTGAATAAGCGGGATATTAAACAACACGTTACCTAACTTAGTTGGAAATATCATAAACTTAAAATCTCATACCTGGTGTTTCGACGACTGGAAACTAAACCAACGATAAGTTAATAGAGAAAGAAAAAGAAAATCCGGGCATACTAAACTTGATGTGTTCGCGGCCACTGCAATAGACGGAAAGTCGGTAATTTATAGGTATCGTATTGGGTAACTCGGTTTATATCCATGTAACAAATACGATACCCATGATGTGTTCGTTATTTGTTCTCGATTTTTTTTTTAATTTTTAAGAAAAACTGCCTAGAATTTGTATTGACAAATAATATTGTTCAAGTAAAATATCGGCGTGCGGAAAGCCCGTACATTTTAATGTACTGTGTTAAAAAATTGGGGAATTTTTTCTGGGAATGCCCTTTTTAGTAAGACTACAATAGCTTTATCGATACACTCAGAATTTTAAATAAGAGAAAAAAAGTCCGAACGACAAAACTGAGAGATGTCAAATGCAATAGTTATATTAAGACTATTTTTGACACAGACAATAATTGTTTATAATATATATATTTTTCCAAAATCATTTTCGAAGCATTTTGCAAATCCAGCGGTTCGAAATCTTAACTAGTTATGATATCTAAGTTGGTATTTTGTTATTATATTATATACTGACCATTGGTAACAGTCTTCGCCGTTGTCGTCGTCGTATGAGTAGTCGTCGTCTAATTTGACGGCTACCGGCAAATCGGGACGGTCGCCCAGTTGCCGGAGGATGTGCGCGGCCACGTGGTCATGTGTCGGCGAATTGGCCAGTTGGTATTCGGCACACTCACACAGGACGTTCTTGGCCTCGGGGGGCAATCGGTACACAGGCCTACTTCCGCCACCTGTCGAACAAACGATATTTTTTTTATTTTCGGTTCGTATTAAACACGATGTAAATTATATTTTATTTAAAAAGTCGACAATAAATGGTGTAAACAATTTCAGTAAGTCTCGAATCCCGTTCTCTTTTCTATATAGAGACGGTCTCTGTGTTTCTTATGGGCAATACGTGTATGTTATATAAGTAGCAAAAATGTGGTTTAAACAAAATGATAAAGGCCTTTATTAATGTAATATCGGTTATAAAACACGCTATTATAAAATTTTTAGATGACAACATTTTGAAAATAACCGAATCGTAGGGTTTGTTTTGGAATATTAACTATTACAAAAATATTTAAAAAAGATACGATTTTAAATTTTCTGGTCGTCAATGGAACATTATAATTATTAGCTTCTTTTTACGTCGAAGTTATTTTAGGGAGAGATAATAGTCTCTAAGGTGTACACTAGGTAAAATATAAAATTAACGACGATTTACGAATCACCGAAAAAAATTCGTTTGAAGTATTTCTCTTTGTCCGCGAAAGCTACCAAATTCAATTACATCGTTTTAAAGACGATCGCGTGGAATCATCTGACTTGGATTTAGTTAATATTATTATGTAGTAATATTTTTTTATGATTATTTTTTGAAATTATTTTTTTAATTTCATATGGTTTAGCATTGGTATTCAAAGAAAGAAATATAGAAATAAATAATAAATAAATAAATAAATAAAAATAAGTAGAAATTAAAAAAATCTACATAGTTAATACCATATTGAGAACTAAGAATTATAAGCGAATGGTAAGTAAAGTTATGTGATAAATTATTAGCGCTTCCTGGTTACCCTTATGTTAAAAGCATGCAATTCTTCCGTTGAATATTGTTTCTGTGCACTCCTCAATAATTTGACTGATTGAAATTGACTACAATTGTAAAGGGATGAGTCCGCCATTACCCAATTGTGCATAAAGTAGTTGCACTTACCTTAAATAGAGGAAATCGATTGTTTTTAATGTTTATTGGATAATTTGCCTCGTAACTGTACGATAAGAGTTCTTTTTTTTATTCCTGTCTTAAAATCTTATTCTGATCCATCAATTTCAGAGGAAATTTTCGGAAAAATTCGGTCAAGACAATTAAAGAAATCTTTTTTTGATTTTTTTAATTACAAAGGAAAACCAGGAAAAATTAACAACGATTTCTATAGTTTATTTTATACATATATTATGTATACTTTAGATTCGGAGGATAGCGAGGGGTCTATTGATTTACCACGATGTGAGTTTTTAAATTGTTTGTGTCTGTGATCAACTTGTAGAAAAAAAAAACTTGTTTCGATGTTAAGTGTAGCAACTTTTCTGAAAATATAGTTATTCATCTAGTCGGTGATATGGGAAGACGAAAAATGAAAACAAATAGATTTACGGCAAACTATTTCATTATTTCAAATTTTTACGAATTATATTTTCTACTAGAAATATTTCTCCATTACAAAAGTAATGATACTTTACTTGTTATTATTTTAATTGGTAATTTAGAAATTCGTTTAGTGATTTTTTTTGTAGTTTTTTAATAATTTAGCAAAACCGAAAAAAACGCTAAAGTTTATGCGAAAATGGTTTTATTATTTTAGGTTTTTTTTTTTGTTAGTCAGTTAAAAATATTCTTAAAAACTTGACATTTTGACCGTAAACTAAAATTTGCCTTTTCTAGAAATGATCAAATTTATCAAAACGTTTTGATGATTTGTGTGCTATTTTATGCATTTTATGTTTGCGTATTTTGTACATAATTTTTATTTAGTAGGTACTATGTGGATATGATTGTTTAACCTACCAAAAATGCATGCAAATTTAATAGAAAATTCGATATAAGTTGTAATAAGCGGTCAATAAAAAAAAGTATGGTGTAATGTAGTAATATTTTTTTATGATTGTTTTAAGATCAAGTAATCAAGAAAATCGTAAATATTATGATCTTACAAATCACGTGTAAACAAACTTCGCTGTCATTTTTCGTTAGCAATAGTTTATCGAATATTTTGAAATTAATACGTTTTCTATTTTGATTTTTCTATGAACAAAAAGTGATGTGATATAATATTATCAGCGTTTTAAGTTCAAATATTTCGTTAGAAATACAACATTATTTTGTAGTTACAATAAATATAAAAAAAATTACCAAAAAAGAAATGTTCAACCGAACTTCGCTCAGTTATTATTTTATTTCGAGTTTTTCGTATATCGGTGCAAACACTTGGGGAAAATTATTATTTTTTCTTTAACCCTAGTGGTGATGTATAAAACGGCGATCGTGTTAGATTAGCATATTAGACTAGAAACGAGGTTTCGTCGGATTTGTGGGTTTTATTATATCGTCGTTTGAGCATGAGATTACCACTAAGGCGGCGTAGTATTGTGCCAGTTGGTATATTGCACAAACGTTTCTCAGGTTTCGACTTTCGGTCGTTTTCTCTAAATGTATTTTACCTCGGACGTTGCAGCCTCTCGAAAAAAAAATATTCCAAATCCGAATTATGTTTCCTGTTTCCTTATCTCGACTCGGAATGCCAATACCTAATAGAACAGTAGATATACGTATAATATGATGTATAGTAAACGAGGTCTAAAAAATTATTTCATGTCCCTCGACGAAATCGATCTTTAAGACGAGCATTTTTCCCCACACGAAATCCGTCCCGCGTAAATCTCATCCGGTCACCTTAAATCTTCCATAAAAAACCGATTGACGAAGCAGAAAGTCCCGACACAATTTCAGTTTCATACAAGAAAAATATGATAATAATATTTATATAAACGATTTATATCTAATCATAATTTATGAACAGATATTTTGCAGTGGTACGGGCACGCATAATTAAAGACTTGAAACTTGTCACTTCACCAGGTTTAATTAAACCTCTTAGAAAAAAAAAATAACTCTTCCGAGTGAGTTTTACCGAACTTTATACTTATTATAATTTTGCGATTTATCAAATACACTTACACACTCACAAAAAAATCTTGTATATATTATGTGCCCACATAATATACAAATGTAATATCACAGATGTAGTTTTGTCTTTACTTACACATTCTCACTATATAGGTACTTACTTACTAAAATTTACGAAATTACATTAAGTCGTTCATGTATCGTTTCTTGTGTTATTTATTTAACTTACAATCCTTATTGCGATTATAATAATTGGAACAGTATATGACATGATAATTCAAACTAAAAACATAATTAAATCGAGTTCTAAAAGCATGCAATAATGAAATTATTTTTGGTTTTTAGATTCTGAGAGTAACGAATTGGTTATTAATTTCAATAAGATGTTTTTTTTTTCGGAAACACTTTTTTGGTTGGTGAAAATTCTCTGATTTGTTCACGTAACATAAGCAAAGATTCTTATCCTTTAGGGATTCAGACTTTTTTTTAAACTATTGATTGAGATTGCGAAGTGATTTCACTATTATAAAATTGGAGTATAAAATATGTATATAAATGTGTTTCGTGGGGTTTTCAAAAATGCGGACGCCTTCCCTGTAGTTTTATCTAAACTTGAACAATTTTTTTAAACTCTCAACAGTTTCTTTTAACAAATTATTAAAAAAAAACTGAAAACAAATAACGATTAATTGTTTTCAATTGTATTGATTTTTTGATTTTCTTGGTTACAAGGGGAAAACACGATACTAATATACTATAAGAATAACTTCGCTCAGCTTAGTTTCTTTGATATAAATTATTTACTTTGATTTTCAAAATATAAACGCTAAATTACTCTACATATCCAGTACCTTCCAAAATTCCCATCTCCAGCAGCGGCCTATCTATTAGGGGGAACGAAAAATTTAATTTTATAATTTAAATTTTTAATAGCAAGGAAAACTTACGCCGAACATTTAATATCTAATTAAAGACATTGTTAACGAAAAACCCTAATTTCATTATTAATATTACCATTACATTCCACTAAATGTATTTTGATCATAGTTGATTATCTGTATGAACTATATTTAATAGATTAAATAAGGCCATCAGCATTATTATCATTTAATCTACAATTAGTACGTGGTATTTTTCATCTAGTGTAGATGTAAATGTTCTATATTGCTAATTTAGTGTTACTTATGCAATTGTAATTTTCAATTTATTTCTCTTATAATATTAACCAAAAATCGAATTGAATTGATAAATAAAATAAAAAAGATCGAGTGTAATAACACTTTGAAAACAATGGAAACGGATGAAATATATACTGACACTGACGAAGATTCTAATTATGTGTCAAATGCAGTGCCCTCAACGTATAGTGCTAATAAACAGCCACAAATGAGGATAAAGTTACCAGCTTTAGTATTAGCATATGATGCGAATATCTGATCGATCTGCCGGTACTAATGCTAGTGTGATACTACAAGATATTAGAATAATTACAATTAATGATATATAACAAGTGATTGACATAATTAAAATTAGGAGAGAGAGATATAAGAAACGTCAAGATCTTAAAATACAAACTGATAGGCAACCAAAAAGTTTATATTATGATGGACGTAAAGACCACACAATTATGAATCAAAAAAAAGATGACAAATATTATCGTGATAATTTTAACTAAAGAACACATTACACTCATTGAAGAGAAAGGGTCTCAGTTTATGGAACATACTACCTATAAAAATGGAACTGCTGTAAGGATTAAAAATAGTATAATAAGTTATTTCAAAACGAATGTATTAGGTACTTCATAATTGTTGGTGATTGGTTGTGATGGGACCGTCGTAAATACTGGTACCAAAGGGGGAGTAATTAGGCTAATAGAGTACCTATTGTGCGAAGCAGGTCCAGTTTTATTTTTATTCACGAATTTCTCAACGATTTAGTTATTATAAATTATATAATATATGTATTGATCGGCAATAAGATAAATGGTTTATTATAAATTTATTATTATATTATAACATCATAAAAGCTAAATCGAGTTTTACAACTTTTTGCGGTATCGGATTTTTTTTCACTATTTTCAACGACCGTTTTTCAATAGAAATTGTTTTCAATTTCCTTACATCCACGACGTCATTTTTACAAAACAATATTTTTTGTTGCGTTTAATTTAAAATGTTTTTTTTTTTAAGCGTGTACGTGACGGTCGTTTAGGTCTAACCATGGAGTAAAATTGTTCTTTTTACCGTGCACTTCGATATAATAACCGTATATATAAACTATAATATTTCCTATATGGTACGAATCGTAAGTCACTTACAATAGAGAGAAAGTGTGAATTGATTTCATATATTTATTATTTTTAAGTATGTTATTTAAATCTGGATCAATGTGATAGAAACTATGACACGGGTTGAAGAACTCACAGTTATAGCGATAAAAAAAAAAAAGGACGGACATACTTGTACGTAGGTGCAGCCACTGTTATAGATGGAAAGTTGGGAAGATGGGTTACAGACGAGAATTTAATGTATATCTGTAAGCAACGATAAACAGTTGCTAACGAAAAACGATTTTTAGCCGAGTTCAGTTGATAATGATGTTTTGTCAACAATACAATATATGGTATTATGTCATATTAAAATAGTTAAAAAAAATGTGCGTTTTCATGAAAAATGATTGTTTAAAAAATATTAAAATAATAAAAACCTTAAAAATAACAAAAAATAAATAAAAACAGTTTCCAATAACAACCTTATTTTTAATCTTTAAATCTTTTTTTCACTTAAAGATAAGGTTTTCCTCATTATTTCGAATATTAATGAGAATCTCAAAAAATGACATTTTTAAAGTATTACCCAGAGAAAATTTATTTTCAGAAAAGGTGCTATACTTAATAATCAGAATATGTTTTCTGGTAGAAAATGTTTACATAAAAAATAAAAATAATAAACATCACTGTAAAACCAATACATTTCCTCGTTCCACTCAAAATCTAAAAAAAATAATAAATATCAATTGTCATAAGGTACTCGAGTTTGTTTCAAATAATATAATATTTAATGGGCATCGTAGTATGGATATCATATGTGGGAAGCATCCTTCTAAATTATAAACTAACAAAATATTTCTATTATATAGGAGTCAAATTTTATTTTTTTGAGGGGACATCTAGATGCGAAGATCTCCCCCGTGGCTATGAGCTTGTCAATGGGTACATCTTATCAGTTTAAATGAATGTGTGATTAATGTTTGAGTAGTATTTGTATTTTCAATTATTTAAGTCATAATAGATGCGGCTCCTTTTGTACGCCACTGCGAGAGAATTTATTTATTAAACTTCTCTAACTTCCATGATTTTTAAAAATAAAAATGAATTTTAGTCGCATATAATATTACGTATAGGTGACATAAGGCTTTTCTTGTGTCGTACCTGCTGCACATTTTGTTTCGTTAATGAATACAACGTGCGCGGCGTGTTCAATGTGTTGTCCCAATGGAAATATCGCCGTGTTATATGTTATACAGCGGATATGAAGACATTCATGTATTTCGACTGCCGTACGGAAAAAAGAAAATATTATTGTGCTAGACAGCTCGATGTGTGTGTATTATAATAATATTCTATCATCTATTAATAAGAAAAGTTTGAGTGAATTTGATTTTGCAGGTTTTTTTTTTGTTTTCATACCTTAAAGTATTAGAGAATCGTTTAACAAACTTTAAATATTTACAATAAAAAGTTGTTTTTATTTATTGAAATTTTACCTTATATATTTAATAGTATACTCTTAAGTATAGGATATGTTATTTGTCATGTTGTAGCTACCTATAAAGTGTTACAATTGTAGACGAATATTCTCGTTTCGAGTATATTCATGTTAAAAGTGAGTTTCCTACATTTGGTTAACATATAATTAAAAGTTAATATTCTTTGTTTGTGGGCCAAATATAATATATATATATTGAAACAATATTCATTGTTTATTGTAAGCAGGGTTGGACAAGAAAATAATAATAATAAAAGTATCTTGATATCTTGATTCTTTCAATTTTTTAATTTTTGCTATTTTGAACTATTTTAAAGATTAAAATAACAAAATAAAATGTAATAATAAAAAAATATAGTATAGAAATATAAACGTTTTGTATTAAATATCATAATTCATCAATATAAATGGTTTATTTCCAAATCGCCGATTTCTATTTTGCCAACAAAACCGGTTTTATTAGAAATAAAATTAAAAATTCCCACTTCACTGACATCCCATTTCTTGACACATAAATCGGTTAAATTATTATTATAATAAAAAATGTCAATAGTTTAATGTTTAAATCATTCAGTGTTTTTCAAGAATAGATATTTTATGTACATTTATTTTAATAGAAATATACATATTTCAATTATATTTTAATTTTAACATTTTTATTATTTATCCATTTTAAATTTATGCATTTTTACCAAATAAAAGTACTTATACTTAATGTGCAATAATGTATAAATTAATTAAAGAGGCAGCTTTAAAGAATGATTTATATTTCAAAAAAACCGTTTAAAATTCATTCTGAAAAATAACAAGATACTTTTTCTTCTCTAATTTGGTACATTAAGAAGGTAATTTTATTTTTCAAGGGGTTTTCATGATAGTTGGGAAAAACTGTGAAAATTCGTAAACTATAAAACAGATCAAAGTTATGGTGTTAAAAATGTCATTATTTTTTCAAAATTTCTTTTCATTTAAAAATATTGCTTCAAATTTTGAGAATTGCATTTTTTCTGAAAGAAAATTTAGTTTAGTTTGTGTGTTATAATTATTGTCGATAAATAAATAAAACTTAAAGGTTCAACTAAAAGGAATGGGGGTCACGAGAACCGTATATACCTGCAAGCAACAAATGGCACCTGTAAGTTACGAAAAAATAGGAGTCCATAAAGTGGGATGTCGGTAAAATGTTTTATCAGCAAAATAGGAATCAACGAAGTGGGAATACACGATATAAATAACATCTATTTAGATGCTTATTAAAAGGACCTATTACTCCCATCAGGGCCGCCATTTCAGTTTTTCAATGGGGATGCAAACATTTGAATCGGGCCAAATTTTTTCTCCCTCGGGCCATTTATATATTTAATTTATTTTACCGAAAAGAAAAAATATGTTTGATTGCTTCGATAGTTCATATTTCCACTTTATATTTTAATATTCAAATACTATAAAGAAATATTTCTGTTTTGGATTTATTTATACATTTAATCGACGATAGTAAAATTAAATAATATTTTATGTGTGGCCAAAAACACATTTATAGAGCAAATTATAGTTTGAATCACTTAAATGATGCCCCTGCTCGCATGTGCCATCTCACGTCTTCAGGATTATTTTATAGGCGGGGAGGGAGGGAATTTATTCATAATTACGTAGTATAACGACAAAGAGTTTAAATTATAATTATTAAATTTGTTTCCATCACTTGAGTCATGGGTTCAACTCCCCCCCCCCCCCACGTATAGGTCATTATTCTATATAATTTTATATTGTTATCTGGGTTCGCTTTGTCGTAGCAATACATCGATATACTCGTGTAATAATAATACCTACCTACTTATAATAATTATTAAAGACTACAAGTGCGCGTTTATGATTTTGAATTCGTGAAACTTGTTACGGTATAGCACTCAGTTGTACATGTACAAGACTATTGTTAATGATTCACAATAGTATGATGACGGGTAAATCGATTTCAACCATTTCAAATAGTAGACAGTGAAACTTTGTTTCATATAATAGTAACAACTATTAATTATAATTAAGAGAGTAGGATTTTGTAGCAAATGTTTCATTTTGCTTCGATTTTCGATGTAAATATAATTTTGATATACATAAATTCGTTTCATGCAGTAATCATTCCGATGGAAAAATAAATCATAATTCAAAATACGATTCGTTTAGGAATTTTTTAGCAATCCTAAAACTCGAGCTTCTGTCTCCCTTACAATACAATATTGACGTAAAAATTATTGGCGGGGGAGTATATTTTTATCTAGTGTACCCTTTTTAAATAATATAACTATCAACGATTTATCTACACGGAAAATATGATTGCTAAAAAAAAATAAGTATCAAATACCTACATGTCTTTTCACGTGGCCCTGCGGAAAGATGCGGGAGGGGTTAGAAATACGTTTACTGGAGCTAATAACCTATAGCCCTTCCCTAAATTTATCTCTATAGACTGGTAGATAATATAATAATATATAAAAATGTAATTATTCGAAATGTAAATCTTTTATTTTGCTTTTTTTTTTTTAAAAAACTCACATATTTTATTAACGTATACTCATGTTCTTATTCGGCTCTGATATTTTTTTGGAAAAATTATTGATATCTATCGAAAAGTAATTACATAGTATTCGAATTGTTCAGAAAAAAAAAAACGTATCTATATAATACTTATGCACTGACTGATGTGGGAGGTTTGCATGTACAGTGAAATCTATCAATAAGATACTCACAGCCCACAGGACCATCAAAAGTGTCCACTGTATAAAGCTTTTAGAGTATTTATAGTTAAATCTTGATTGCAAATTGTTTAGCGAGTTTACGAATAGACATTAGACAAATCACACAAATCAAATTATAGTACATGCACTAAACAATTTTCATTTTTTATCGAACCAATTTCGTAATACAAGATGATGAGGTGCCATTACAAAGAAAAAACAACAGATTCTGAATAAGCTGAGCGAAATGACGGTGTTAAGTTAAAACAGAATGAAAGGAGATAATATTTTATTTGCATTTACCACGCAAAAAATATCGTTTTCAACGATATAAAATTATAAGCGGTAGGCCGTAGTTATATAATTCGTTAATTTTCTTGGTTTTATTCATAGACCTTTTATTAGGCAGTCAAGAGAAGTAGAGTTGTAATGATAACCAGTAATAATTAAAATGATTTTACACAACAATTATTGTGATAATATACTGTTGTGTAGAGCTACTTACTAAATACTGCGTATACAATGATATACACAAGGTGTGTCCGCAAGATATTTTTACAATATTCCCTAACTGTGTAATTGTATGGAAAACTGTCGAATCCCACAGATGTTCCGTATACAAGCGAAACTCCATTTAGGTCGAAAATAAGAATCATAAAAAAAGCGACCGGAAAACTATACGAAAAATAAAAACCAGAAACGTTCGGACCAACACGTAATCCGTTAGCGTTTTATTTCCGTTGTGTCCGCAACACGTCAACGGGGATTGTATACGAATAGCATACGAAATTCACAAAAGCAGCTTTTGTCCGTCGCAGCTTTTATGAAAATCGAAGACCGTGGCCGGGCAAACGAAACCTCTCGTTCTCTTACTCTTCTGACCCCCTAGCCTCCTTCCTGACATATTATAACAGCTGACACGCGTACACAGTTTATTCGTAGCACACGCCGCCGTATCGTACCGATACGTTTCTGTGATGTCCCGCGCCCGGGTAAATTTCCCGGCCATGAAACATCACTGTCCACCACTCCCCCCCTGGTAAAAACACGCTTACCATAATAAAATACGAATTAACCAACCTTGTTTCCGGGACCTCGGACCCGCAGCTTCCGCGTTTCCGGCGGCCCTGTGGTGTCCGGCGACGTTGTACTGTTGCGTCGGCGACGGCGGTGCGTGGGAAACCGACGCCACCGCAGCAGCTGCAGCCGCCTTTCCGCCGCCGCCCGACGAAGACTTTTTCGTTGACTTTTCCCGACGATTGCCTGCAAAATAATAATTATAATAATAATAATAATAATAATAATAATAATAATAATAGTAAACGGACCGATATTAATAATAGTATTCTGCCGTTCGCGCCCACCCGCCTGCACCCCGTCATCGCGACCGCATCCGTGCGGTGTACACTGTACACACGCCCTCTGAATATTGAAAACGTCTAGCTACCGGGGTTTGGAGAGGCCTTACGACCCGCACGGCCCTCCGCGTCACTTCGTTGCCCCCCGGACCCGCTGTCCCGTCGGGATTAAACGATTTCCGGGCGACCATTATAATAAATAGGTATGTGTATATACACCACACTCCGCTCTACGGGACTTTTATTATTAATTTTCATTGCCGCGGGCATTCGATTACAATCCGACATATGTGTAGAATATCGTGTATGTATGTGCTCCAAACATTTTCCCGAGGCTTGCAAAACAGGGTTTTGTTTTTTTTTTTTTTTTCGTAGGGACACAGTTCAGAAACCATTGTCCGTGAATACAATTTAATCAGCGAAATAGTCACGCGAAATATTATCCGCTAATACTGCGCGCGGCGGTTTCATTGGTAATTTCGTGAAACGTATTATAATAGAGCTTAAAATATATCGATTGTATCTCGACTGCTTATCAAACTATTATGAATTACAAAATAGTATTTTAAAAATAATTTTGTTATAATACTGTCATTTAAAATCGTCATTAAATAAGGTTCAATGTACGTTTATGTGACTACACTCAGTATATCAGAAAGTATTAAATTTGTTCGGAATTTCTTTTATTGAACATTTTTAAGAAACACGCAGTTTTCCAATTTTACATTTGTATTATTTTTTGATTCTTTTATTTTCGGAGGTAAAACCACTATTTACTTTTGATTTTAAAATGGTGGCAACCTATATTACAAATTCCATAGGTAGACGGAGTAAATTAGTTTAAATAAATTTGGGTGTTGAAATTTTTCATTTCTACCAATCTATTGACGAGATATTCCACTTTTAATTTCGGATCGGGCGATAGTAATAGAGTATTATTTGTGTGGTAGCACTACACGTGGAATTTGAATGATACTCCACTACGATTTATTTTTAATTGGAGGGGGGACAACATTTTTAATATTAATTTGTAAACATAATATTTAGGATTTTTTATTAGTCCTTCAAATAAAGTATAACTCAAATATTTCTATTATGACAAATTTAGTGTACTTTAATTTATAAAAAAAGTTTGAAACAATTGAAATATTCAAAAATAAAGAAAAATAACTTGAAATGTATTCATTGACTTTTTAGTTTATATATTATTGTAGGAAAAACTGAAAACGCCTAGGTTGTTGTTTTTGAAAAGAGATCTAAAACACCCTCTGATATTATATTAATTTCTTTGTGAATATTAAGCAATGCCAATCCATTTAAACGATTTTCCTCCATTATACTCCTTAAGTAAGTTTTTATATGTTTCAACATACGACTAGACTACTCAGTATACTAAAATATGCATTTATATTTTCCAATATTTTATTCTATGTAGTAAAATTATAGGTAAAAGTTATTGAACAATGAACAGTAAATATTGTATCCTATCTGTAAATACAGATAGGATAACAATCAAGTATCAACATCATCGACTATCATAATAATTGGTAAACCGAAATTTGAAGGACGATTTATAAATATTATTTTTTCATATTATTACAACTACAAATATCGCCCCCCTTGAGCCCGCTACTGTATAGCAATAGAAAAGTAAGAAAATCATTGAAAAAATAACGGTAAACATTTTTGACTCTCGGGTTTCAAGACACCACTACAGAGGATAGATATAGTATAGTATACTACTTACAGTATAAGTAGTTCGAGGCCTTTTTATTTGATAAAAATAATAATCCCTGTCGATCAATATAATGCAATAATAGTTCGTTTATTTTTTTTTTAATTAGAGCGGGAAATATAATCGTACGTTATTGTAAATACACAAGACAGAAGACCCTGAGTCAATTTTGTATAATTCTAAATACAAGTAAATTACATTTTAAAAATTCCATATCTTAAATGATCGTCCTAATTAATTTAACTGGATCTGGTCATATAATTTAATATGACTTTTATACCTTTTCATCATACAAAAAGTATATCATAAAATTTAAGATTTATGATATTTTTATTTTCAATGTAAGATTTGTTAGAATATGCATACACATATTTCACTTTTAGACTAACAAATAAAGGTGGAATAAAATATATAAGACAAAATTACATACATAAAAAAAAATTCTAAACATTTATTTAAACTTTCTCAGGATAATAAACTTAGTTTTTGCCATCTGCAGCTTAGAATTTAATAATACGGGTGTACACGCAAACAATTAATTAGAATATTGTTAAAAAAAACCCTCTTCAACCTATTGCTCAAACTGTGTACAAAATATTAATGACTAAAAATATTGTAAATGTTATTATTACTATTATTATAATAGTAGTACGTCGAATTAGATAATAATATGAAATTTTGCCACGTTCCTTTATTATAACGGAAAAAGTAATATAAATTAATAATATTCTCTTATAACAAAAAAAAAAACTGTGTTACTGGGGATGGGAGTAACCACTGTTATAGGTGAGAAGTTGGGAAGTTAGGATACATAAGGTTATTTTATTCATATCTATGATTTATCTACGATAAACCATTGCTTGGCGAAGGACGATTCCGTGTGCAGTTCAGTATATCATAATTTGAAGTGCCGTAATTTTTTTTTGTGATTTTTGTTTAAATTAGATTTCAAAACTAATATTTAAAAAAAAAAAAAAGTTGTCCGGTAATTTTGTAAATTTTACCACGTCTAGGTAAGTCTAACATAAGTATTATTACCAAAGTTCAAGTCTCTACGTGTATTTATAACCGAATTACAGTAAAAAACTAAAATATCTTAAAAGCTTAAAAGTAGCTCAAAAGTTTTGGCAATGATACCGTAAGAAAGTAAATCAAAATTAGGAAAAAACGTGTCCACAGACTAGAACAAAAAAAAAAAAACATAATTCGAGACACTAATAACATTTTGCGATTGATATTGATTTACAATACTTATTAATTTTCAAAAGTTGATAAATATATATTTTTAATTAACAAAACGAATATAATATAATCAACTTAAAGTTTTGAAGATCAAAATGCTATTAATTCCTTTTTTTTTTTTGTTTTAATTAAAATCGCATGTATTATTAATATCGTACACCACCAGAGTAATAATTCGTTAATTAAAAAAAAAAAAATGTCATATATATATATATATTTTTTTAGAAAAACCATTATTTCATAATTAAACACGCACGTTGATCGTTTTTGAAATTACGTATATGAAAATATATAATATATTTTTTTATCGTCTGTGCATTGTCATGCAAATGGTCTTTTTAGTTTTTCCCTAATAATTGCATATTATAATATTATAATATACTATTGTGTTTGTACTTACCTACCGGGCTATTCTGCAGTTTACCGCGTTTCCCGTAAAAAAAAGACATTTTTTTTTTATTCAATCCCTCTGTCATTTTTTCATTGCCTATTGTTTTTTTGTTTTGTTTTGCCTAATCCGAAAAACGCGACTAAAGTAAAACATTTCGCTTTGTGTGCTCTTCCCTATCACATGCCTATATTATTTAGGATAGCTTATATTGTTTAACCGTCATCAAAATAAGCAATCAATCTTTTTAATTTAGAAATTAAAGAAATGTAATAACATACTTTTATAGCAGATGTCTAAAAAATTACTATAATTACTAAAATTATATATTCTCTTATAACATTCAATGGTTTTGTTTCACTCAAATGGTAACGCTAAATATTTTAACCGGATGGAAATTGATTGCAGGTGGGGAGAGTTAATACAGTTCAGAGTACCCAAATACACGTTTTAAGTATATTTTCAAAATGTATATCAGAAATTACACTTTCTTAGATAGAAATATTAGTTATTTAATTATTTTAAAAATTATAAATTATAGGATGGTTATGACCATGGGAAGTACAGTGAGTTAGGATAACGAAGAGATAGGGATTACAGGTATTGTAGAAGGGAACACTAAAGGAAATCATCTCAAGAAAATCAGACGCATGCCGAGACCTATTAAAGACGGCAGAAATGAAATCTTGATCCGCTTTAAGGCAGAGGGAGAAATATGTAGGGATGTTTAAAGTATTACGTAAATGGGAGTATAGTTATTCATGTGTAAGGAATCTTGGGGAACATAAGCGGTGTGGGCTAAATATTTGTTTTATACAAGTTCAAGACATAGTTGTTCCTTAGCGAATAATGTATACCTGACAGATATGTTATATTCTAGCAAAAAACGGACCAAAGAAGTGTATAGGGACCGGAGACAGCTGGGCGAGGAGAAAAGTTTGGTGTTGTGCTTAGTAAAGTTAAAAATTTTTAAGGCTCCATGTGGCTTCGATATAAAGCTTAAAACTATGCGTTTAGTTAAAGATGATGCCGAGATCGTTATTAGATGTGACTTTCTAAAGAGGGAGACATTAAGAAGGTAAAAGTATTTTTATTAATAATTTATAGATTTGAATAATCCTATATTACTTTTTTTTTAAGTAACTCTAACTAATAATTATTTCCTCTCTCAAAAATTTTCCGGGATGATAACACTCATTTAAAGGTTAAAAAATATGATTTATTCTCGATTTTTCATAATGTATAGGTATTTTTGTTTATGAGTATTTTTACTAATGGTTTTTTTTATAGTTAATTTCCTTGTTTTGGAATTCTTGTTTTCGAAAATCATGTATTGGTACGTAGGAGGAGGTAGTTGTTGGTGTGTGTAGAAAAATATGGTATTCTGAAAGTTGTCTTTTTTTTTTTTATATACACAAAATGTAAAAAAAAAAACAATAGAAAAACTAATAGTAATGCTCGGTACATAGAAATAAATACCTTTCCTAAATAATATGTACACAAAATCCAACGTAAAAGAAACAACATTATTTTTATTATATACTGACATTTTGATTTATTAGATAATTTATGTGAAAAATATTTTTTTCATACAGTCTCGTGAACAACACAATACGATTGATAAACTTTGTATTTAATTTGTGATCATTGATATGAAACTAATATAATTATGTCCACTATTAAAATAATAAAAATATTCAAATAGCATTATTTTTACATGAAACCGTTATTGTTTGAATAATACTGTTTTTATTAAAGTGTTTGTTTAACACCTCGCTTCTCGTTATTAAGAAAAGTACAAGAAAAATCAAAGTATCAATATTAAAGACAAAAATTTGTTATTAGAAATAACCTCTTGAAAGTTGATGATCGAAGCGCGAGATTTCATATTAAAAAGTTGATTGCAGAGAGAAAAAAAAAATAATGCCTCCTAAAAAAAGATATTCGTCATAGTACAATTATAATGCATCTCAATGTTTAAGCTTGTAATAAAACTAAAAAAAAGTATCTATTTCGCATTAATACGATTATCTTCATTAATTTATCGTTTTTATTTTTGTTTTTTTCCACTGTGTATCGTGGGGGAAAAGGAGAGGAAAAAAAATCGTGTAACGATTTATTGTCTGCACATCGGATGCGTACAGGTTAGGTTAACAAAAGTTAATGTTTTCGACCTAAACGCTCTCTTTTGCGTGGTGACAAGGGACCGAACGTCAGTCTACACGGAAAATAAACACCATTAATCATGTAGTTTTATTAAGCTAAACGACGTATACGAACTGCAACATCATTACAAAGGAAGTGGTTCTGTATACTAAAATGCACTTTACCGTGGTTCTAATAATAATAATAAAAATATAAATAAACAAAAAAAAAAATTTACGTGGTTCGGAGAATATTAATCGATCCAAACTCTCGTGGGCAAAATTATGGTACCGTGCAATGTGTATCACTGCTGTGTAACAAACTCCTGTTCCGTTTGCGACTAGTAAACAAAATACATCAAACAAAAATAGTATAATACGCTAGGTATATTATATTCGAACGTCGCGGGATATATTATTTCCGTTTTAGTTATAATATTTCAGTAGACATATCGTTTTCTTTAAATCGGTTTCATTCCCCCAGTTCACTCACTTCATGTTGATTTGATTACGTCGATACCAGAACAAAATCGTTGATATTATTATTTATTTTTAATTTTGTTGCCTTATAGTTTTAGTAAAAGTTCATCTGGTTAAATACGAGTATATTTCGTGGCACAAAATTCGAGAGATTACTGAAAAAAATTGAACTTTATTTTGGTGCTTATAGAGTATACGAATTCGTTACCAACAGTGATTTAAACAAATATCAATAAACTAATAAAAAAAAAAAATTTTTCGAATCTACAATAAGCGCGTGTCCAATACGGTTGTGTTTCCGAAACTATTATCATGCCAAAGACCGAAAATGAAAGATACTTTGTATTTACATGTACACAACGATTATTTTAATATTATTATTATAATGCAATTGTATGAGTTTAATTACCCTCGTGGAAAGATATCAAACATTAAACCCATGTATGCGATTATTTCTGTTACTACGGTAACTTCATAATTCGTAGGTATACGCAGCGATAACAGAAAATCCTTATAAATGGGTTTTTAAAATCCAAAATACAATATCCGGAATATTTGGAAAATTAACAAATTAAGTAAAATGACACAAAGTTCCATTAATAAATTATACCAATTTCGATTTTTAAATAGTAAACATTTTTTTAAAAAAGCTGATACGGATGCGGTGACTTTAGTAGGTAGGTCATTAGGAAGGTGGTATACTTAAAGTTATTTAATTTATACCTATAACCAACGATAAACCATTGCGAATGAAAAACGATTCAGAGCAAAGTTCAATTGTACATGTTTTGAAAGGCCGTAATATTTACGATTTCCGTCAACATTTGATTTTAAAACTCTTATAAAAATAAAAATTCTACATTACCCTCAATTTTTATTTTTGACCACCAAGTACTACTTATGATGAACCTTTTGTCAAGTTTTTAAATATTTTTGTTCAGTTTAAAATTTTATCTACAGAGTATCAACAAAATAAAAATTACGTAAAAAACTTGAAAAATTAAATTTCTGTAAATAGCTCAAAAATAGCTCAAATGTTTTGACAATTTTACCACGTCTAAAAAAAAAGCAAATATATGTTTTAAATTATTTTTAATCGATTACAACAAAAGAAACAAAATAATTATTTTTGTTAATTTTCTCGTACTTTTTTACGTATCTTTTGGTTTTGCTTAGTTATTCAAAAAACTACAAAGAAAATCAAAAAAACCTTAAAATTTGATTTTAAAAATCGCATTTTGGACTTCAGCGATTAGAAATCCTACCCAACTCTGGGAATATGCACCTGATATATTTTATCGGACAAAACACAATTGGCGCCCACCGTGGTATAGTAAATACGAAGGAATATTATAGAAACCCGTGTATGCAATGTCCTTAGAGCGTATATTTTATTTTTTAATAATTACTGCTGGTAGTTATTTATGCGCGAATCTGTAACTGGTTAAGTGCTAAAATGTATATAAGTTTATCGGTCATCTGTATTATTTCGTCATACCATGCCACCTCTTTCTCTCTCTCTCTCTATTTCTCTCTACACTCTTCCTCTCGATAATTATATCTTTTGAATCTTAAATAAGTGTATTTTTCTTTGAATTCAAAACCGACGGATTGTCACTCTCTAACGCTACCATTTTTATTTTAATTGCGTAATGACTATAGTACCTACGAGTATAGTGATATCAAAAAAAAAAAATTAAAACAATTAACATGATAACGAAACAATCATTAAATCACGTGAACGTACCTATATAAAATACTTATAATTATTATATTCACTGAAAAGTAAAAATAAATGCATCTGTACTTTTACTTGACACGTGTCAAAAAGTTATAATATATGTATGTGCGTAGGTGTAAGTAAGTAGATTATGCACAAGCAGACGTTTTTAACAAGTTCTAAGAGGTACCTACAATACATTGCAGTTTACAGTTTTAACGTAATCCGGAAATTATATGGATTAACCAACAAATATAATTAAAACGAAATAATTGCGAAAAAGGTCGTAAGATGTTATTTGGATTTTTTGCTTTCTCTTTTATTGCCGTAGTCTTGCTGCGGGTTATTAACATCATCGACATAAGCATTTCTTTATGTAGAAAATTGTCATTTTATTATCGGTTCAATTATTCATAAATTACCCATTAAACTAATTTACATCGACGCGTCATATGTTAAATATTTTAATATAATTTATTCGACAGAAAAAGAAAAAAAAATAACAAAACCGTTTAGCTAACAGAATTATTAAAATTCCATAATTTTGTAATCGTGTATTAATATCGATATAATATACAATTTTTTTTTTAAAATAAGTAAAGAAACGCCAATACCGCCGCTTTTCTAAAATACTGTCGAACAAAAAAGGTTACTGCAGCTTTTTACAAAAAAAAAAAAAGAACAACAAACATTAACCTTATGGGCTTATAATTATTTTGTTTGATAGTATTTTAGAAAAAAACAGAAATGTTTGCTTTTGAAATGTACCCCTCTGTGCATTTCGTTATCTTTGTTTGGATTCTGAACCCACACATTTCCAAAGCTAGACAAAATAACCAATTTTTTTTAACTAATTTAAGTTATCACAAAACAAATTAACTATAATAAATAACTAACTTAAAGTTAGTTGTAAAGTGTAAATAAATCTGAGTGATTAAGTTAAGTTGAATAATTTCAGGAAAATTATAACTTGGTTGAGTTAAATGTTTAAAACTACCTTTTGTATTTTTAAGTTTAGCAGCTCTTAATCAAAAATTCTCAGTTCATCCATGTACTTTCCTGTACCTATATTATGAACTTAAAAAAGTTTACTACGTATTTTCTATTGCAATATTTATATAGACTTGAATATACTTAATATAATATAACAATCGAGTGGTTCGGGATATTCTGTGTAAGTCACATGCTCATATTTTATGTGATAATGATATAAACGTAATTTCATTGAAAAATAAATTAACAAAACAGGCAGTTAAAAATCGCCAAAAAAAAAAATCAGAAATAATTTAGTTAAAAATTATCAAAAAAAACTCGTAACTTAACTATTAACTTTTTGTAATTATAACTACTGCCCAGTTTATAAAATGCCACAATCTATTATTGTACGGAATGTAATTTTGTCATGTTCTTCGTTGTATAGTAATTATGCACCGAAATAGTAAATCTAGTTGTTTTGTCCAGCTCTTATTGGTGTTTGACTTTTAATCAATTCGATTGACTTTTTAAATCTATGTCCGAATAAAATCCTTCATAATGCTAATTATAAAATTATTGCGGATGAACACGAATCGATAATGATAATTATTGTGAACTATACGCGAGATTATGTATTCCAACGGGGTGTAATAACGTGTGAATTAAAATTATGTTAGACGGCCAATCATAATCGCATTATTATTTAACACACCTTTCAAAATGCAGGTTAGTTTGAATTTCACAAAATTAATACATTCATCATAAAAATAATGAAGCAGTGCCATGAAAGTTTTTCCACGGTGGTATTAATAATTTAAAGACTTATGATTAAAGATTTATGAAAAAAAAAAATGTCCTAGGATAATGGGGACGGGTGTATTCATTGTTGTTAGTGAGAAGTTGGGAAGTTGTAAAGGTAGGATATAGAGGGAAAATTAAATTGTATCGTACAATATAAGAGCCAGTGTAGTTGTAAAGAATTTCGAGAGTAGCGAAAAAGCTCAAATAGTTAATACTAAGATTTGTGTTATCCATGAAAACCCTAATTTTAGTTAGTAAAAGCTGTTTGTACAGTACTTATGTCTTAAAAAGTGGATTTTCTGTCAATAGTGTTGCTTTATTTGAACAAAATATCTATATTCCGAATATTTTTTTTTTTTAAAATGCAATTCAAAAAAACCCCAAAATATTATTAATATTATTCATATATAATATACATATTGTTTTTGTTGATTTCTCGGTTACTTTAGTTGTACAAGAGAGGAAATAAACACTACATAATATATAAAATAGCCTTATTATCAATTTAACGAGCTCCGCTCATATAATTTTTTTATTTTAAGGTTAGGTTAAAATTATAACTTATATCTCTTTTTTTCTACCTTCCTAGCGTCGTACCTATAACAGTAGCCTTACCATGGTACGATATATGGCCGGATTTTGTTCAGTCATGTTCTTTAAGTGCATTATGCCTATATATTAACGCTTTGATTAATCGCCTTAATTAAAAGTAGGTGTACTTACCGCCGCCACCGTTACGACCGGGACATTTTAAAATCCAGAATAATTATTCGAAAAAAAAAAAAAAAGTCTAACAACACAAATCATAAGTCGTAGGTACTTGTACACGATAAATTAAACTACAGACACTAAATAAACAAGAGTATAAATTGTCAGACGATATGGTTGAAAAACTTAACACTATCACCGGGTATCGTTAAAAATTGTTTGTTATATATAAATTACAATGATGTTACGCTGGAAGATTAAACACGAATTCACAATTGTTATAATCACCGTTGAACTGATATTTATTTCATTAATAAGATAAAATTTCCTTGTACTAACATTATTTTCAACATTAAATATGAATGAAAAACCGAATAACTTGAATTGTACGAACAGATTGAATATTATTATTATATAATCGAAAATTAAAATAAAGCGTTGGCTTCTATATTCTTATTATTGTGTATGAGGTCTATGCGTTTTTGAAAATGACTGTGTACTGCATAATTTGAAATTTTCACAAAAACAAAACAATTATATATTTTATAGCATTTCGCCTTGGTGGAATTTAAGTAAATAATTAACAATCGTTTCTAATAGAAATTTTACTTTCGGATATGGTTTTTACTATTTTTTAGATTCTGAGTATAGTGAAAAATGTATTGGTTTTACACAGATATTTATTTTTTTTTCTTAATGTGAATACTTTTTCTACCAGAAAGCTTACTCTGATGTATACGATGTAGACTTTTTTCTAAAAAGGAATTTTCTTGAGGTGGTATTTTAAGGAGGTTGTTTTTCGATTTTTCCAAGAATTTTCCCAGCAAATGTGAAAAACCGTGGAAAAACATAGGACAAACAGGGAAAACGTAGGGAAAACGGGAAAACCAGTACTATATTAACAAATACTATTAAATAAAATATATAATGCTTATTTAATTATTTTTTTACCATAATATTACGTATATATTATTGACAAAATATTATTATCAACTGAATTCCGTTTAGAATCGTTTTTAGTAAGCAATGGTTTGAAGATTTTTCGGAGCATGGTTATAAAATACCTAAAATATTGTGTGCATACCTATGACTAAATAATATATAATAAATAAAAAGAAAAATTCAACAACTTAAATATTATAGATTTCTTATAACGGTATTATTTTTTATACCTACTCTTGTTTCGTTGAGTTAATAAATAATATATTATGACGGTAGCAGCCGGCAGACACGTCAGTCAACAATATATTATTATTTTCATTTCGTCCGTTTATTTTTACCTCTTCGTTGAAAACTTTGTTCGCAGCGATTAAATGCAACAACAATAGAAAGTCGTATTTATCTTTCTGTATAGGAGACACGAGACAGTTTTCGTGGACAACAAACCTCTCGGTACCCCACCATCGCAAAACAGATCATTAGGCTCTAAATGTAAAATGTACCTATTCTTTATACTTATTAAAATTGTAAAGTTTGACAATTTTCTATAATTTACCCAAAGATGTTCATAACTCACGCTTGCTCGGATTTTGTATAATAAAAGGTTAAGTTTAGTTTTTTTCAAATAAGTTCAACGTCAAAATACTACATACCCTCACCCCAAATAGTATTATATACATTGATTCTGTAAAAAATACTGTTTATAGGGCTTGATAAAAATAATATTATTATGGATAATATCAAACAAAATATTGTAATTTTCTTATAATAAAACATTAAAACACCGTGATATTGATTAAAAAATTTATTCCCGCGATTTAGTAACAATTTCTGTTCCCGTTTAATTTAATCAAAGCTCATCACTCATCATCATGTTAAAACTCTCGGTTGTTGTAAACTGTATCCATAACAGATTTTGTGTTTCAATTCGTATATAATATTATTCATACTCGTGATAACGATAGTGCAAATAAAATGCTGAACCCGTTGTTTAATGTTTGTAGATGCAGAATTATGTAATATCTACTACAAGTGATACAGGTAATCATATACATATATTTGTATATATGCATATAAATGATAGTAACTATATACCATATTTGATACATTAACATTTTTAAGTGAAGACAGTTTTCGCCGAGTTGACATTACAAAATAAACAATGTAATGTAAAAAATATAACGTTCGTGTTTTAGATTCGGAACACTGTAAGGGATGTATACGTTTTAATATGACATGTGTGTATTTTTTTTTGGTTGTAAGCAACATTTATGCTAGAAATATTGCTCAGATTTTCAAGAGTAGCATTTTTCTGAAACTAAATTGTATCTAACTTCATGATGTATTGGGACGGTATTCTATTGATTTTAATTTAAATTTTCATAATAATGGGGGAGGGAGGAAAGGAAAATATTCTGACGATTTGATGGTTATTTGTAGACATTTTACATTTTGTAGTTTTTCTTTAGTCTTTATTTGTTATTAAGTGGATAAATTGTTTTTGAAGTTTTTTTTTATGCATGTTTAAAGTTCAAATTTTGATGAAAATCGAAAAAATAACGTGGCATTTTAAAATATATTTAACTAAACTTTGCTCGGAATCTTATTTCGTTAGCAATGATTTATTGCTGCGTAAAAATATGAATTAAAGAACTTTATGTATTTTGCCTTCCCAACTTTAACAGTGGCACACCCATCAGTAGTATCAGCTCTTTCTTAAAAATTATTATTTTTTACTTTCCTATGTTTGGAATATTTAAAAAAAAAAAAAAAAAAAAAAAAACGAGAACATTTATTTTTCTGTATAGGATCTGTAATCATAAATCATAACGTAGGTAAACTATATAAATTATAAATATAAATTTTATAATAATACGAAAAAAAAATACGCTCCGAGTCTAAAATATTGAAGTCAATTCAAATAACTAAATGAATACTGATCGACAAAGAAACAAAATATTTTTTTTTGTGTAATTTTAAATTTTTTTTTTACAAGGTAGTTAGAGATAGTTGGAGATGGTGATGTGATGACTAAAAAAATATTCCTAAAAATCATAAAAAAAATATAGTGTTTTAATTACCTAAACGATTCACATTATTAAACACATTTAAGTATATAGAAATTCTTTATTTGAAAACATTTTTACTGGTCAAAGTCTAATATAAGATTTATTTAAAATATGCATTGAAAATTGCAACTAAAATTATTTTCTAATTATAATAGATAGTGAAAATAGTTGCGGGTCAAAAAATCAAAAAAATTGAAACTTCAGAAATAAGGACTACTCTATGGTATACAGTATACAATATACATTATATACATTCTATAATATTATATATAAATTAAGTTAAAAAATAAACGTGAAATTAATTACAAGATAAACTCTCCACTCATAAATAATAAAATTATTTTAAAATGTTTCAACATTTTTTTTTTGATTAGGAAAAAATACCGACTTTTAACGCATTATATCAAACAAGTCAGTGGTATTTTATTTGAATATTTATCGACATTTTTATTTTATAACCAGTGTACACCCTAGTTCTTTTTTTTTTAATTCTTGTAGATATCTAGATCAAGTAGGTTCCCTTGGAAACAAGGAAAATACGATTAATATTACTCCACTCAGAATCGTTTTCGTTTTCAATGATTTGTCATTTTATACAGTATATATTGAATTGCCCTGTGAATTCTACCTTGTCTATTCACCTACAACTATCCATCAACAACAGTGGGGAGTATCAATTTATTTTTTTATTATTCCTCGTAAACATACAATATTATTATTCAGTATTTTAATGTTTTATATGTACCTACCAACAGAAATATAAAAGCAATAAACACGCAACTAGAACATTGTAATGACACAGTTTTAAGAAATCAAAATGAACATCATACTAGTTATTAATACTGATTAAACTAATAACAATAACAAAAATAACAATAATACAAATAATAATAATAATAACTATAATAATATTCTTAATATACATAATAAATGTCTTAACACTCGTATTTTGGTATTTTTCACCAATATACAATCGTATAAATAATTAATCATTCGATTGAAATAATTAAGTTTATATATTTAATCACAGCGAATACGCTTTTCGAAATTATTTCACTCGTCAGCGATACGTATTACGTAATTAATTTACAGAATATAAATATGCATTATACTGATCCATGGCCAAATGCTTACAAATAATTTTGTGCTTAGCTAGTAGGAACGAGAGGAGTCCATTTCTTTGATCATATTTACTTTAATAAAAGTAAATAAACTGACCATTGTGTAGTGCGTATCATAATACCATGTATAGACTCGAAGTTTTAGACATTTTTTGAAATGCCCGTCACACATGTACCTACTCGTTTAAACGTTAACAATTATTTAAAACCAAATTGATTAAACTATGTGACCCATTAAACAACAGTGAATTTGTTATCTATAATGATATATGTGTTATCCACGCAATTACAATGTTTGAAATTATTTGTTTTAGTATAATAATAATAAAATAACATGCATCCGTAACGTAATCTACCGGGATGTAAAATTAAATTTTATTGCCTTTGACGATACGAATAATGCATATACTAACGACAAAACATTTTTCGCTACAGGTTTTCGCGACAAAAAGTGTTGAAATATTGCTAATTACTAAACAAACTTAAGGTTTCAATCAAAGTATATCTAACATCATAAAAACGGCTAAAGTTACATAACATGCACGTCATAATTATCAAAAGGTAAGTATAATTAAAATATTTGAATTGTGTTAACAACGCACGTGTAATTTTTTGATAAGCCTGAAACATGAAAATAATACACAATATATAGCCACGAGACTGTGCACATTTTCGAAGAAAACGGCTGTAAAAACAGAATAATGTTCAAACGGATGTGGCAGTTTTAACAATAGTTGAACTTTGTACGTATATGTAAAATACAACGCACGTTGTTTTGAGTCGAAAATCATGTACCCGAAATAATAACACAATAATATATGATATATATTTTTTTCTCTCGTTCTGCAGACATCATCCTCGTATTATTGTATTATGAATATAGAATAAGTCCGTGGCTGTCGGGAAAAATTTGACTGGAATATCAAAGGGAATAATATTATAACTTCCGAACCCGATTAACTATATATAAAGATCACTTTAATGGTTTTCTTTTTTTCTCCTTTTTTTTTTATAGATATGAAATACAAACATCGCGAAAAAAATATTATTATCATCGTAATCGAATAAATTTTTAATAGGCGCTGTTGAATTAATGATTAATTTTCAATATCCGTATACATACTGAAAAATAATTTAAAATTGACTGCGTGTAATTTATTATTATAGCTTTTAGAGGTTGAGTTGGGTGCTGATTTTCCAAATTTTGTAAAACGAAAAATTTATTTTTACATTTTAATAGCCACGTTAACGGTAAGACTTTCACTAATTTATTAAGGGGTTACGGATATCAGTTCTTTTTTTCGTTTAATTGTATCTATCTTTTTTAAACCCCCAAAAAATTAAATTTTGAAGGGTTCAATTTCAAAAGAGTGGAAGTCGTTTTTAAGTAAACTTTATAAAAATTTTTAGCATGTTTTCAGGAGTTTTATCCGATTACTTGGCCAAGTGTGATAGTTGGCATAATAAAATTATGTCCCCAAACCTTTTTATTTTAGTTATATAACTTTTATACAACAGGAAACATGTATTAGGTAACCTTATTTCATGTTTTTGAATAATGATTATTAATTATTATTTATTCGTGAATTATAACAATCAACATTTTAAAATTATCTGAATACTTTCGCGGAACAGATGGGAAATTGAATAAATACATATGATATCGTTTGAATGTAAATATTACAGCATCTATAATACAGTACTTTCGATAACTATAAAGTTCGGACGAGAAAACTGCAAAAATTAAATGCGCATAATCAAAAACGATACGCGCAACGTACGTGCACGGAATTGGCAAATATATACCGACCTACCTACCGTTAAAAGTATCTGAATTTAATTTAATTGTAGTAGTCGGATAGAAAAAATATTTTATACTCACCGTTTGCGAAATTAAATTAGAAAGTTTAAATTTTATATACATACATATATATTATAGAGTAAGTAATGTAATATGTATGTAAAAGAAAATACTCTCACTGATGAGCGATAGTATTGCAGCGCTCCACGTGGTTTATCGTATAAATTAACGTTCTAGAAAAACAAAATAGCAAACATTTATTCGTTTTATATACCCGCAGCTACGATGACTTAAGTTGACCGATTCTCCAACTTAACTTAACCGACTAAAATAGAAAAAAAAAGAAAAAAAGTTACACTGCATACAAGTATCTCCCTGGTTGGTCCAGGATAAAAATATCTCTCTAAAAAAAAAAAGGTCTTCACTGTTAAAATTATTGTTTTATGCATAATTTAAAATATGACCATTAAACCGTTTAAAATTATTGTTGAGATGCTATTAACCCTATAAACTAAATGGATAGTACTAATTAAATATTATGATAGGTTAGTTAATTATGAAAAAATTGAATACGATATAAGTTTTATGGTAAAATTTAACATTTTAATGAGAAATTTGTCTTAAATACTTCAGTAAGTTTAGTAAAGATGTTCAAATATTAAAATATTATTATCATTTTGGTATATAAATATCATAAAAATTAATAAACACATTTACAAAAATAATAATAAATTAATTGATAGAGATATTAATCTCTATCAATAGTCCGGGAGACATATATTATGTGTTGACCGATCATCGTTAACAACAAACTGCTAAATACTACGAAAAACCAGGTATTTCGGTTGGATCGGCGAGGACGATACGAGGCTAATACGGTGACAATGACTGAGAGAGGGGTTTTAAACATTTTTTTTTTTGGTTTTACAATATCTTGATACATATAAAATTGGTTTAAAGCGGGAAAAACAAATTGTTTATACTGGCGGTTTGTCAAACTTCCCTCATCACCCACCACGAAATATTCACTCAGACGGTGTCGCGCAATTATACCGACTGATTAGAGTCGGGTTGTGCGCAGAGGACAAATTTAACGCTCGTGTATACATTATTATTATTATTATTGTGTACGTTTCGACCCGACGAATATCCGCTGATCGTGTGCTTGTGTGTGCGCGCGCCTGTGATATTATTGTTTGCATACGTCATATTTACATATTATTATGTTTACATCACTGGGTACCTACATACACTTATATTTTATGATATTAGAGGTTTTCTCATCTGGCCGGCCGGCAGAAAACAAAAAAAAACCAATATTGGTACCGAAAATATTCGGGACAAATAAAAACACAGTCTCCGGTAGTCCGGTTTAGTAGTCAGTAATATAATACGCGTATAGGCATATACTTTTCGACCGATGCCCATCACTTCAATATAAGGTTATGTTTGTTATTATTATTATTATTATTATTATCAATATTCGTCGTCGTCATGATAATATTGTTACGCGACCTTATTTGATTTACTTTATACCGTCGATTGGCGGCAAAGTCGATTGAAGGCTCTCTCCCCCCCCCAAAAAAAAAAAATTAAATAAAACAGACTGGATCATCTAGATTGTAGATAAAACATTCGCGCGTTTCCTATGAACAATCGAAATTCATAAAAAAACATAGCGTTTTATACCTACACAAAATATGTCTAAAACGTGAAAAGTTTAAGAATTGTTTTTACAATTTTTAGATTCTGATAGGAATAATGTGCGATATCAATTTTTTCTTGTATTTTTTTGATCATACCGAGTCGGACAAAATTGACAACCACCCCATATCTCACCAATAAAAACCACTTTGGCCGTTCCGTGCGATAGCGAATTATTATACTTTTATCCAGACCCGAGGAGACAGTCTTTAATAATCGCCGTTCGCATGTTATAAAGTTTATCGTTCGCGAACCGCGGCGTGTTTATATGTATATAAAAACTAATCCTATCGTGTACGCGATAGAAATAATAATGTACCGAGAGGGATTTTTACCATCATCCGAGTTTAAAACGACGATTATTATACGATCCATAAACTGCATTGGAGGGGGCACGATAATGACTGTACGTGTTACACGTTATAAAATACCTAAATAGTTGGAAAGACTGCTGCGCGCAGTATATTATCGTTGAATCGGTGAATCATTTTTATTTATTATGAAGATAAAATCTTTTTACAACCATACAACGAGGACATTATTATATTATGTTGTCATATGACCTATTTTTCTACAAAATTAATTTTTCGATATTCTTTAAAGTAAGCATTATTTTACTTGTAGTCTTAGGTCGGGTATGGCATAACAATAATAATATAGTGTTTTAATATTATTGAGCAATTGAAATTTGAATATGATAAAGAGAAATATACCACGGCATTAAAAAAATTATCTGTGAAATATATTTTAAATCAACACGAAATTAACTAGCATTATAAAGCTAATCAGAACTTTTGAGTTAAATTATTACTTATTTTGATACTTATACATATCGCTATCAGTGTGCTAATAAATTGCGATAAAAACTCTCCATCTAAAACAAATTTCCCACAATATTATTTTATCAAATTCGACACGGTGATGTTTTCCAATAGGTAATTAAAATTGTTTTCACGTCGAACTCAAGTGTTTGTATGTTAATAGTAAAATATGCGAAATCGTATGTAGAAAAAAAATTCTAGGTTTTTACATTTTCGAAACGAGTAGTGAAGATGAATTTTTATATTGAATTTTTTGAGAATTCTGCAGCTTGATTGAATTTTTCTTTTTGAGATCGTGAAATAATAAAAAAATGTTAACTTTTAAAATTCTATGGAAGTTTTATTAAAAATATTATGCATATGAATATTTCAATTTAATATTAATACAAATTATTCGTTTTACAGTTATATGTATACATGTGATTGGACATGGCAGGAAGGTCCAAGATATTTTATATTATATTATTAGACATTTGGCTGACCCCAAATAGTTGAGATGAAGGAGAAGAAAAAGAAAAAGAGACGTTTGGTGTTTATATTTAACGAAAAATTTATATAAACATAAATATTAAGATAAATAAAATTCCACTTGCAAAGTTGCATAACACAAACTACCTCTATAGTGAAAATTTAAAGGAAAATAAATATTTGTAATATAGATTATAAAGTTTAAAATAAAAACTCTATTTCATTTGTGTATATTAGGGTGCTTCAGAATTTTTTTTTATCATTTTTCTTCTCGTGATATTGTGTTCTTTAGAATTTAAGAATGTTCCTCAATTTTTTTCAGATTGCTTTTTAGATTTGTTATGTTTCGAGCATCGTTTATAGGAAAAAAAGTTAATTTTTTTTTTGTGTTTATTTTTTATGCGTGTAAATAATAATTTTAATGGAGGATCGTAAGATAAAAAATTATCAACAGAAAAAAGTAAATATACTAATATTTTTTTCAAATTAAAAATTGTTTATAAATTTTTAAAAAAGATTTGGTTATTTGACAGTTTAAGTATAAATTCCGATGTCAGGTCGATTATATCTCGTGTTTGATTAACGTTTTTTTGTTTTTCCATAAATTTAATAAATAATATTAAATAATGAGAAAAACAGTTAGTAAAAGGAAATTAATTTAATGACTAGTAGGAACTTGTGACGAAAAAGTGTGGATAAAAATGCTGTCAGTTTACCATTAAAATTGATCATTTTACATAATTCTCTTTACCTACACATAACAGAAAAACAAATTTCTATATGCAATATAATTTTTCTAGTTTGCACAAAAAAGGAAAACAAATTCTAAACTACTCAATATTGCACCTTTATTTATTCTTCATACGAGTATTTATTCCATAATAAGTGTTCAGTTATTATTTTTATTTATTATTTAATTATTTATTTTCATTTTCTATTCACTCTGCTAGGTATACTTAGCTATGTACCTACAATCTACATATTTCATAGTTTACAGTAAAAGAATTAGTTCCATTAAACTATAAAATTGTAAAAATAATTAGATTTGAAGTTATATCATGTGTGTAACTCAATAAGCAAGTTTAACCATTCTCTCGGTAACTAAACGGAGTACAAGTCAAAAATATTTTCAACCCATAAAAATATATTTATGGGTGGTTAAAAGGGTTGATTTATCAAAATTATTCAAAAATGTATTTTTAAATTTCTAAACAAAAGGTAAAATGTAGATTTTTTAATTTGAAAAAAAATATTAGTATGTTTATTTTTTTCTGATGATAATTTTTGATCTTAAGATCCTCCTTAAAAATTATTATTTACACGCATAAAAAATAAAAACAAAAAAAAATTAACTTTTTTTCCTATAAACGATATTCGTGACCTTAACAAATCTAAAAAATAATCTGAAAAAATTGGGGAACATTATTTAGCTCTAAGGAACTTAATATTACGAGAAGAAAAACATATGATAAAACAAAAAAATTCTGAAACACCCTAATATACACAATATATATATAAAACAATGTTTTCTGGTTAGGATAAAATTCGATAATAACTTACGGCTTCCAAACTTTTAAAACGACAACACACTTCACATCACAAGCTATTGTCTCAAGTGGTTCACGTTCAAAGTTTTTAATGCCACTTATTATAATATTGACATTTTTCTTAAATCGTTATCTTTATAGTTCTCAATTTTGGAGTATTCCGAAAGAAGCTGGTATAGTAGTTCATTAGAAAGTTTAGTAGCTTTATTCGACTATGATATTTGTTGAATTAGGTGTGTAAAATACTAGTCTGTAATATAATTATTTGATTCTTACAGTTTAGAGGGTAAGATTTATTTTAAAAGGCGTACAAAATGGACTAATATAAATAGGAAAACAAAAGCTGATACTGTCACTGTTATAGGTGGGCAGGTGGGATAGTGTAGAATATCTAAAGTTATTTAATTTATATCTGTATAAATCATTGCTGACGAAATACTGTTCTGAGTAAAGTAAATTTACATTTTTTTTTACATTTTAAAATGCAGTGATTTTTATAATGTTCGTCAAAATTTGAACTTAGGTGAATAAATGCACCATAACGTTATACGTTATGCTGCTTTTAAAATACACCGCCATTCAATGTAATTATAATTACTCTTCATCTGCATCACCACCTGATTAACTCCCCCTACGCTACTACCATAACGTCGCATCGCTCTTTCAATGATCTAAACATTTTAAATGCTTGTAAATAGCTCAAAGTCGTAAGAATATCTTGAGCATTTTATCACGTCGAAAAAACGCCAATATAAGTATTTTGTAAACTTTTCGTGTCTCTACGGTTATTTTTAACCAAATAACAACAAAAAATCAAATTTAAAATAATAAAACCACTATTTCCGTAAACTTTCAATAACTACTTTTGTAAACTTACACACGAACTAGAAAAAATAGTCGTTGTAGAACCCTGTAGAACCTGAGCTGCAACAAGCAATCATTTCCAACTTTCCATTTCGAATACCAGTTGTTTTATTGGCACATATTGCTGTTCACCGTCCAAATGTCTTTCTATACAGAATCTTTTCGTCTTGTTTGTGGTCTTTTCATGTGTAATATTTCGGTTAAATATAGGGAGTTATTATTTTAATTACCTATGATACCTTATTTAATGTATGTATAATATAACATAAACGTTGTATTCCTAAGGTATTTTAATTAAGATGTAATATTTCGTTAGTAAGTCATGTTAATATTCTGAGTGAAGGAATGAACAAGCCATCCCTTTTACACTTCTTTGTGCTACTAATATATAAATAGTATTATGAATTCCCTAAAACGATGAGAAAATATTATAATTTTAGAGGGAACGTTAATATTTTAATTATGCTTTTCAAATTTTAAATAATATTATGTCACTGCAAGTAGAAGTACAATGCAACATGAATACTAACAACATTATCCTGTCTCCCGGTGGAATTGTATCTCACTATTTTCAGTTTTTTTTTTCGTACTAATATGAAAAAAATTATTTTTAAATATAAATAAAAGAATTATTACCAAACTTGATATTTAAACTTTTGAAGCGTAAAACATAATCAATTTACATAAAATATTTTTAAAAACAAATTTCAAAAGATAGGTGTATTATTCTTGTGCATTATTAATTTATATCAATTTCTAAAGGAATTAAATTGGAATTTATTCTCAGAGACGTTTCGAGAAGTTTCGTTTCCGTTCTTTTCAAAAAATATTAAATTATTAAAAAAAAACAACAGTTGAGCGTTTAGCATAGTATAACAATAATAAAAAAGTAGACTCGTATTTGACAGATGCTCTTCATGGTTAAATTTATTGCACCAAGTATCTAAGTGTGTGCTCTGAGGATGATGCATTCTTTTTGACGGTACTAAAATATAAATCCTGCTTTAAAAATTCTGGAGAGAAAAGTTTAAAAAAAAATAAATATATATATTCGTCAACAGCTCGTAATTTTAAAATAAGGTAATACTATTTTATCACTACATATATATTATATGTTATTGTTGTTATCACCACGAAGACGCTATAAAAGATTGAAATATTTATACGTTACGAGTAGAGAAAAGTATAAACTTTTTGGCAGTAAAATTTATTACTCACGGGTGTATTTGGCGAAGAAAAATACCTAAAAAGTGCGCTAATTATATTCAACCTCGAGGAATCGAAATGTAAATCACAGTTAGTGCCACGGAGTGTCGCTCGGTAGAGACGAGAAACCCGTCCACCTAATTGGATTAATTATTTATGCGAAATCTCGAAAAACTTTTTGTTTTATTTTTCACACCTTTGGAGTTCACGTGGGAAGGAAGAATGGGTGCCCTAAGCCAGCGAATTCGTTGCGAAATAACACGCCTGACGGCAGGTAAATGCCGATCGTCCGGCCGAGTCAGCCGGCATTATTGAAGTTTATGCTGAAATATCAACTGTTCGATTTACCGCGCTTTTACACAATTAGAAAAAAAAATACATAAAACGTCGTTAGTTTTAACTACAAACCGACTAATTCCACCGGGACAACTGCCATTAAATACCAAATATACGTGTTGGTGTTAGAGTGCCGACGGCTGGATGTTTCTCATATTATTGTCTATGTGCAGTATACTTCACGCTGTTAACCTAATACACATCAGTTATTAGTATATTGTAGATGCTATATAATTATAGAAGTTATTGTCCCCGAGTATTTTGCGAGAAATTCGATTAAGAAAACCAAACTCCGATAAAATCATTGCAAACGAAGAAAGATTGCCTGTAGAGCCATTAGTATTTAGACAAGTTTAAATTGATTTTGTATTTTGAAAATTTTAACTTAAAACTCTCATAAAAAATAACATTTTCTACATTATGCTCAATTTTTTTTTACTATTAAGTGCAACTTATAATGGACTTTGTGAAATTTCCAAACATTTCTGTTAGCCAAAATAATTTTATTTACATAAAAACAAATAAAATTTTGAAAATGTTAAATGTCTTTAAACAATACAACAATCAACAGAATATTTCGAAAATTCGACAACGTCTAGAAAAGGCTAATAAGTATTTTATAATTATTTTTAACCGAATTACACAAGAGAAAAAAAGCCATTTACAGATACAAAATAAAATTAATAACATCATAGTAGTAAAACTAAAATATTCCTTGCTGGGCGAAGGTTAAAAATAACCTGCTCATTTCTTTTAATAAATAATTTTAAATTAGTTATTTTTTGTCAAAATTTAAATTATTTAAAATTTTGTTTTCAAAGAAAACAGTGTACCTAGATTTATGACATTTCCTACGTGTTTTTAAGTGAATATCATTATCACGTAACAAGAAGGGCATTCGGTCCAAAAATTGTATTGCAAATATACCCATACGAGTTTTGTGCAGCAAGTCTTAATATTAAGGTAAAAAATATGTTTATGAGTACGGGAGTGTTGTTTTAAAAAAATGACTTTTAACTCAACTTATTTATCATTTTCCTGAATATGTATAACTTAACTTAGTTTTTTATTTTTGATAATTTAATTTAAAGTTACTACAGTTAAAAAAAATGTTTACCTTATCCATGCTTTAAGTATAAATATAGTGGAATATCGCGTACCTGGAAATTATAATGCTTACTAAACAAATGCATGAAAGTTTAATTTGATTTTTTCGTGTATTTCGTATAATATTGGCACGTTCAAGTTTACGTTAGGTACCATCCGATAACGGTGACAAAAAAAATATTATGTCAACTGCACGAAGTTCGTAATCGAAATGAGTCATCCCTTATACGTACCTACGAGGCCGATGCGATTATAATATTTTAAACGAGGTTTTTACCTCTTTACCTTTATATATTTCAATACTGGGTTTTAACACTATATAGGATATAGGTATTAATTTACATATTTTAATATTTGCGTACTCCATGCACACGGTCGTAAAAAAAAATCGTTCGTATACCACGCAATTCCTTCAAATAATCTACCGTATAATATATAAAGCAGTCTAATAAAATCCCATAGTACGAAAACGCACATTTATAGGGATCGCGATATTGTAGTGCAATATTTACCGGATAAATATGCAGTTTTTCGGCGGGACGAAGCTGTGAAAACAACACTAAAAACGAAACGAAATTTCGTTTATCGTATAGGTAATATTATACGTAATTTCTTTGTTATTATTATGATTTTTTTTTTTTTTTTGTGGAAGAAGGGTGAACGAAGAAAGGATAAGCGTCAATTTAACCTTATTACGAAATAATAGATACTATTTACTATATAAATAGGTAATTTTATTTTCGTTACCTGATTTTTTTTTTGAAAAACAGCACGAATGAGAGTAAGCGAACTGAAAAGTACCGGCCAACAACGATCCCAGATTGGATATGCATAGCAACATGAGCGGCACGCCGAACAATGCGTACACCATAGTTACGATTTTTCCTTCTGGTGTTTTCGGTGCCAAATTACCATAACCTAAAAAAAAGTGTGTATTTATATTATTTATATTATATGTGTATATGCTCGTATATGAAAAATAAATCAATAAAAACCATTAAAAAATAAACACGTATTGTATAGGTTGTACGGAGAGAAAGTTTAATTTTACATATTAGGATTCGAGTCGTATAGTTTAAAACAAAAATGATAAAACACTTTTTATACGTATCAGTTTTACGCAAAACGCTTTTCTGCAAGCATTGCGCGAATCAGCTTGTATGTAATCTGAAATTAGGAAATATTCCTCTTTTTACAGTATTTTTCTGTTTATTTTAAATAGTTCTTAGTGCGGAACGAGGGTGCTATTAATTTTACAGGTTTTTTCTTTTTAATATCTTTCTGTTTTTTTTTCTTTTGGTACAGTAAACGTGTCCCGAAAAGTTTTATCCCGTGACTTTATATATAGATGAGTATAATAATTTACGTATGATATTATGGTACCTTAGAGAGTTTGATGCCTGCCGAAAAATAAAAAAAAAACAACACACACACACAAAGTAGTTACCTTCTGAAAGAAGACAATATAATATAAGTAAAGTGAAGTTCTATGCACTACGATGAGACACGTTTCTTGTGAAACTCATGAATATTATTGCAATAAAATAATATAATATTCGTATTGGTAAAGTTAGGAGTATTAAAGTATTTGCTGGAAACTGCATAAGTTTGAAGGTCGAACGAATATAATTATAAAACAAATATTTCAAATGGCCGATAAATTATACAGGTAATTTAGCGTTTAATTAAAATAAAAAACAAAAAAATAATATAATAAATACTTTCAACAGACCTGTCGTTATTTTAGTAATTGATATTAATTATTTTGCAGAATATTTACCTGCATTTTGATTGGCGAAACTATCGATGATTTAAGAGGGTATACAAATTAATGTTGACTATTATTAATAGGTATTATTTGATAATAACATTTATATTTTTGTTTATATAAATATAAACAATAAAAGTAATTGTATGGAGGTTTATATTATTTGTGTGAATTAATTTCAATAAAAAAAAAAATTCCAAATCGTTTGGCTGTCCAAACTTTAGACAGACAGTACTAAAAAAAAAAAAATAAATACAATTTCGAAATAATAACGCATTATATGGGCTTCAGTGAAAATACTAAAATAGTCAACACGGTATACACATATGGGAGATAATTTCAGTGTTAACTATGCATACAGTGTCTGTTTAAAAAGAAAAAAACCCAACTAAAAGCTGATGAATTAAAAATACAATTGTAACTGTATACACATACAAATCAACAACTACACGTGTCTAGTAATTTTTCCTTTTTTTTTTTTTAAATTATTGAAATGCACACATTTTGTCCGATATAATTTCCGACTACATATAATTGAATAAATTAACGATGATTATTATTTACGGGCTACCGACATTCATTATTGCAGTTAGCCATTGATCATGATATTACAATATTATATAGAAATAGTTGACCATAGAATTTGTATTACGTTAGCATAAATAATACAAATACATTGATAGTAAATATTATAATAAGTCATAATATGATTTGTTATTATATATATATATATATATATATTAACTTAGAGACACGTAAGTGTAGTGATTTTTAAAAATGTTTAAAATGAGAAAAAAAAACCTTGATTATAAATTATATTTTACATTTAGAAATTTGAAGAATTTAGTGTTTTTATTTTAAAATATTCATAATTTTATATTGTAAAAATAATACTATGTACTTTTTTTATTTTAGTTTTTTATAATTTATATATTTACGAAAGTTTATACAATTCATATTTTTTTTTAAAACTTGTTTTTTTTTATATAAATTTTGCTATAGAAATTATAATAATAGTTGAGAAATTTAAAAGCAAGAAATTTACTGAAAATTTAAACAATTTTTTATAGTACACTTGTGTAAAATAAATTATTAAATAGGTTTTATTATTTGATTCTGCGACGTTGAATGCACACAATAAATATTATTTTTCAGGCTTAAACCAGATATGCAGTACAGAAAATAAAAATAAAAATAATAAAAAATATACATGTGCAGTGCATGTATAATATACATTCATGTACATATGTCATATGAGATATATTAGATTTTGAAAATATATATAGAAAACTTTTCGGAATATGAATACGGAAACTATAGGAAGAAAAATTAAATCAGTTTTCTGATATCTAACCCGAATTCTATAAAAGACGGACGCGTATAGAACTATAGATTAATTTTTGCGGTAAAGTATGTAAATCGTATATAGTAGAGTTAAAAACGTCTAACTAAAACTGAACGAATAATGACATATTCAAATGTAAAATTAAAGTGGCGGTTCCGAGAATCTTTAAATATTTTAGCGGTAAAATGTATTCATTCGGAATAATATATTCGTGTATAGAGTAACTATATATAGTATGTTATATAATAATATAATAGTATTCGCTTTCAGAATATCATCGTTCGGCAAGTTCAGTAACCGTAAACGGTGTAAGATTCACGAGTTCAGTGGCGGCTAATTTAAAAAAAAAAAAAATATATATATGTAGAGTGATTATTCTGTCATAAGACACTCATTATCTCGGAAAGTATACATTTTTTTTTCCAAATTTGTTTCAAAGAAAATTCTGGAAACAAGCAGCTCTGCAATTCATGTTATTTTTTGTCACCCTAATTTTTGGGGGTGAAACGACTAACTACTTTTGATTTTCAAATGGCAACCTATATTTAAAATTCCATAAATACATGGAGTAGTAGTTAAAATAAATTGTGGTTTTTAAATTTTAAATTTCCGTTAATCCGTTGACGATATATTCCACTTTTAAGTTCTAGTCGGGAGAGAGTAGCGGAGCATCATTTATGTGGCGGAACAGCGCGCGACATTTTAATAATGTACAACTACTCTCCCCCGATCCAAATTTCAAAGTGGAACATTTCCTTAAATGGATTAACAAAAATTAAAAATGTATAGACCAAAATTTATTTTAATTACTACTTCATCTATTTACGGAATTTTTAATATAGGTTTCCATTTGAAAATCAAAAGTAAGTAATCGTTTCACCCCCAAAAATTAGGGTGACAAAAAATAACATAAATGTAAAATTGCAGAGCTGCTTGTTTCTAAAATTTTCTACATAACAATTTTCGAAAAAAGTTAATACTTTCTAAGATAATGAATATCTTATGATAGATAAAATGTATACGATATTTTTATTTATAATTACCCGCCCGCCCAAATTCAAAATAGTGCAGATATTTATGTGCTTTTGTATATTATTATCGGCCTATAAAAAAAAAATAGCTATAAAATGTATTCCAAATATGTGTTTCATGCAATAACGATTCTACATAAAAGTTTACATTTCGAGTTATATTTCATGTTTTAGCGTATTCAAGGATTTAGTACATTTTTATTTCAACAAATCAAAAATCACAAAATAATTGTTCAGATATTGGCTCGCAGCCGATAACATATTTAATGAGTACTCGCGTTTTTCATAAAATATTATTTGTTAATTTGTTTTGCTTAAATATGTTGCTATGGGTTTGCCATTTTATTAACAATATGCTAGCTTCTTCTTTATACATTTTTTTTTTTGTTATCAGAGCCTATTTTAAGGGGATATTTTGTTATTTTTGGCATACATAAATATCTGCCCTATTAATATGATACATTTAGGTTATATTTAATAAAAAAATATAAAATATAAAAAAAGATTAACCCTCCATTTTATAAATTTAATGATATGGGTACCATTATGTTATTTTAGAAACGAACTCATCCACCAAATGTTGCATGAGTTTTCGAAGCGACACTAAGAGCCACTAGGTACTAAGCGAGTTTGTTTGGTATTCGATGTTGATGGATATGAGAGAAGCCAAATAATGTGGAACGGTTTCAAATTGCTCATCAAATTGTTCGAATTTTTCGTCTGTATCCGATAAGACGGGACACACGAAGCTTGAAAACGAAATATTAAGTTAAAATAAAAATATTAAGTAATTTCACCGTGTCATTCGTGATATTCAAAATATTGCCATGTGAATAGTATACACAGGGTTGGTCTAAGGTATTTTGCTCTTCAAGGCAAATATTTTTTGTCCACCATTTTTTTCCATTTTAGCTACCCCAACGTATTATACATACAGGTTATTCACAATTTTTCACATCTTATATCTAAACTCTGCCACTGTCTTTAGCCTTTAGTATACATATCGTTATAACAATATTCAGAAATATCGGAAAAAATATTTGTTAAAAAAAAAACCCACTCTTTTTACGACGATAAAACATCAATGAAAAAACTGCATTCATTCGTGCACCTACAAAAAAACTTTCTGATTCTAAGTGTTGCGAAGATTTTATTAATTATACGAAGATGTGCTTTTTCTCGGAAAAAATTTATGTATGCGTATAGTGCGAACTGTGTGGGTATTTTTAATTGTAATCATAAATTGGAACAAATACTGATACGACCGTCTTCAGCGTGTCCTAAAAGAAAAAAGAAACAGCAAAAGATCACCTGGAAGAAGAAAAATATTACTGCTAACCAACTTTCGAACATAATTTGACAAAAGTTCTGCAGAATTATTCCAAAGTGCAGCCAACAAAATTTGTATAACACAAATGATTGCTAACATACGAAACGGATCGGTATATTAAGAAAAAGAAGAATCATCAATCCTAGCTAATTTATTTAATAATTTTAATTTTATTTCCTTTGTTTGGTGGTATGAAATATATGAATTAAAATAATCAAAATGTAAATTCCAATAATCGCTTTTAAGCTCTACTTTAAAACTTATCAAAATACTAAAATACTGTGTCGTAAATACATTTTTAACATTTTTTATTTAAATAGCTTGTAACCAATTTCTTAATTACAAAAACCACAAGTCACTACACAATTTAAAAAAAAGACAATCTGTTTGCTTTCATTTGCATGAAAAATAAAATTTATTAAAAAAAAAAAAAAAAAAATTAAAAATTAATAAGATAAGGAGACACTTTTCTCAAACAGTATTTTATTATTTTTTCCTCTTGAAATTTCGTTTTCTTTAAAGTTCTCCATCTCAATATTATTTTTCCCAATACCATACTTCCCAGTAGTTTATTTTCCTAATGCTACATTTCCAAATACAAACAACGGGTATTCTTATACTAAGGAAAACATAATTAAATAGAGTATAATAATATAAGTAAATAACTAAAGTTGAACTCAATTAAAACAAAAAAATGTTTGTTAATAATTAAAATGAATTGTTGAAAATAGGAATACATTATAGGTTGGTATGTCGTATACAAACAAAATAAAAATGTATCCCAGTTTTTAATTATATCTTATGGTTTTAGAATTCGTAAATTTGGGGAATAAAAATTGGGTATTTATTTGGGAAAAGTAAAATTTGGAAAAATTGATTGTAAAAAGTGTACTACCATCATTTAAATATTGTGTTTATTGTGTTGGATATTGTTGTTGATTTTTTTTTTAATGTTATTAATTAAAATAAAATACTAGTCGTGCATAATCGATAGAATAAACTATAATGTATATTTTTTAAGTAAATGAAAAGAAGAGAAACAGTCGTGTGTTCTATACGCGCCGCATTGCAGCCGAAGTACTCTGATATTTTAGGAATCCCCAACGGGACACTTTTTAAATTTATTTTTTATGAATACATAAACGGGATAAAACTAAAACAATTATTTTTAAGTCAAAATGACGCATTTTGTTTTATTAGTAAGTAAACCATGTTTATTTTTAAAACCAACTTATAATTAACAATTCAATTAATTAAACAATAAAGTTTTAACAGAAAACATAATATCGAATGAAAGTTTAATAAAATGTTTTATATTATTTCCTTAACTTTGTGCTCTTCATATGTTTGTCAAAATCTAACAGTCAAATGCTTAAAAAAAAAAAAAAAACAAACAAACATCGTGACTACATACTTTTGATATTTTTATATTGCTATTAAGAGGATGTGATACCTAAAGCTGTTCGCGTGCAACCTACGAGAGATGGTATTGCGCGCACCGTATCTCCACGTTGCGAAATAATTATTTGTCAATGTTTTTAAACGGAAAAACAGTTTTACGGGAAACAAAACCATTCTTTTAATAATTATAATAGATCGATCGAAAATAGATTTTTTTTTTTTTGTTTTAATAAGGAAAAAATTATGTGTGACGCAGCGTTTTCCATTTTCCAATAACTTATCTCAATTCATAAACAAAAAACTTGAAATATTTACAAACTTTAAAAGTTAATATTTTTAAATCTTTTTGTACCAAATAAAAAATAAAAACTCTACGTCATAGCTAAAGTTTTCCTTATTAAAACAAAAAAAAAAAGAAAAAAGAATTGTCAATCTATCATAATTATTAACAAAGTGGTTCTGTTACTCGCCAACTATGTTTTTACGCTCAAATTACTGGTGTATCACGTCCTCTTAAAACAAACTTATGATAAAATTTAGAAGAATGTGTATGGTACACTTTAGGTTTTTTTATATTTTATATTAAATTGGTGAAGTTATATCATTTAAACGTTTTGATTTTCATTAGATACATATGTATTATGATAACTAGTGAACAAAAGATGTTGGTAACTAAAAAACTCCCAAATAACAATTTAACAATGCTTGGATAAAACGATACAAGTTAGTCAATTTACATTCTAATATTATTGTAGACCTTACTATAGGCGTATATAATGAATAATTATAATTGATACTAAATAAGTCATTAAGTAGTTTAAATTTACATTAAACAATTTTATGGAAGGGAGTTCACTAAACGAGTAGGTGACAAAACCTTAGAATAAACGCAGATAAACTATACAAACACTAAGAAAATCAATATAAAATATAATCGAGTTTTATGTGAGATCCCTTAAAAATAATTTTTAACAAAATTGCAAAAAAATAAAAAATAATGAAATCGTATAGAAAACTTCACGTTGAAAGACGATAAAACAACCTTCTTAACTAGATACTATTTTCTTTTAAAAAAATATACTACATTTGTGAATCAGATTAATATTTCTAGTAGAAAGTTAGTTACAGACACACACACACAAAATAATTTCTGTGTATAAAAAAGAATTTCTGTCTCTCTGTTTTTTATAGACTCAAAAACTACTAGACCGATTTTAACGGGTTTTTTTGCAAAATGTTACACGTAGTCCAGAGAAAGTTTGTAGCTATTGAAATGTCTAAAGTTCAACACCTCAAGGATAGCTGACACAGGGATTTTGGTAGTTTGTGGTACAATTTTTGTTGATTACGTTACCTTAGTAACAAAGTAAATATTATTATTATATTTGTTAATTATGTGGTATCTATGGTATGTACTGAATATTGTTTATCAATTTAGCTAAAAAAAAAAAAAAGTATTAATACTAATAAAATCTTGTAATAGAAAAGCATTGCCGGGACAGCTATATTAAATACAAATTAACGTTTTTCTGTGTGTCTGTTTGTCTAAACCGTTTATTCGACTGTGATAGAGGCTTTTTGCTAAACTATCAGAATTTTTCCGGGAAGGTTATAGGCTTCACCTTTAAAAATCATTCCTTATAGTGAAAATTGATATTATTATTTTAAGATTTTACATTTTGTTTATTTGTATACCTTGGACACGCGGATGTAACAACAAAGTTTAGCAAAATTACGTATTATGACACATAGTCCGTCATAGGACTACTGACTATCCACTTAATTTTTTCGTCAAGTATTCTAAGCAAAACAGAAATAAAGGTAAAAATAATTAAAATATGGCACGAGAAATGCCGAGCGGAGGACAGCTAGTATTTTCAGCTAGATTATCCTCTTCCTATAACTGTTATATAACAACTGATAAACAAAAGTTGTTGGTAAAAGAAAAAAAACTGCACACGAGTTATTCGACTATAGTAATACGAATAAAAAAACACCAATACATTCCTCACTGCACTCAGGATCTTTTACACAGTAAAACTAAAAAAAAACAAAAATCTATTATAACTACATAACTGTTTTTACTATTATATTTTACTAAGTGACATCCATGTGTACACTGCACCGTCAAGGTAAAAATTTACAACTATCAGAAGCAAGGTGACTGGAAGAAAATTTGTTCACACATACAAGAAAACAAAAAAAAAAAATCACGGATAGAATAATAAAACCAAATACTATTGCTATCGTTGCTTCACTGGGAACCTGTAACAATTTAGTGTGGGCGAACTGTTGGATAGTTGACAAAACGAAATAATTCAATTAGAGCACGGCTGGGCATAAATTCCGCGTCTTTTTAATCTAATGACAGGCTTCTGTGGTATACTTTGTGAAAAACCCGGAGCATTTTTATTAATCGAGACAAATTTTTTCCGCGAAAATAATAACAAAATGCACACAATCAAACCAAAACTTATACATTCACCCAGAATTTAAAACAAACATATATTATTATTATACTTACCGATGGTCGTAATAACCGTGACCGAGTATAACAGCGCGCCCGTTAACGACCACTGTTCCGTGCTTTTGCTGTCGTATCCCTGTATGTTTTTCGTAGATATGATCTGAGTCTCAAATTTGTGCAGCGGCTCGTAAACCAACTTTGTCCAATTTAATTCGTGTAACACGTGCATTCTCACTGAAAACGCCGAAGCAAAATATTATTATAAAATAAAATATTTAACATTTCAGGGGTTTTTTTTCGTAAAACGCGCTTGTGAGCAATTGAGCACATAAATCGCACGTATTTACGTTTACATTTAACCGATTGCGTAAAAACTATTATTGTAATTAGAAAATCACATATAGTATCATGCGCTCGCAGGATAACGGCACTTAAACATGAATATTTCTAGAGATATTAAACAGCTATTTTGTTATTAGCTATTTTTTTTAGAATACAGAAAAAAAATGCATTGTTGTAAACTCTACAATACTGTATTAAATTTTAATAAATTTTATAAACGCGTGTGTACAATAATATTTCATTCACTATTCGAATTCTTAGTGAAATCAAACGTTGTACATTATTATCCGCTACACCTAACGGTAAATATATATTTTACTTATAAAAAAAAAAATAGAGATTCCGTTGTACAAAAGGAGAATATTATATTTTTATTAATATTTTTTCCATAAGCCACGGAATGCCAATAAAAATTCATCATTTTGTACGGAAAAATATCCGACACTCGAGTGGAAAACTAGATAACATAAATTATTTATTGAAGTACGTGTACAAAAAAAAAAAAAAACAAAACAAATATTACGGTGAGGGAAAGGGATCAACCGAAAAAAAAATATTCTAACTATACGCGTAGAACATAAATAATTTGTATTATTACTGCAATAAATTCACTGCACACATGATGCCAATTTTAACAACATTATATTATAATTTAATATTGCAAGAAATATTATTCACTAAAAATAAGTTTATAATATATAACTAATAATAAAATATCAAAAGGATGTTTTAAATAAATAAAACAAAACTAAACAAAAATTTTTTAAGTACCTCTTTTTAACACCAATCTTATGAATTTATCTGAATCGAATTTTCACTGAATTGAATCAGAGATAATAGTGTGTAATAATACTGATATATGCGCCTAATCGGATTTTGAAATATGACTTAGGGATTTCGATTTATTTTTTCGAATTAGTTAGGTATAAATATATTCAATTTGGTAAATTACCAATTTTTTCTTGAGAGGTAACGTGGTTTTTAAAATTTTCTCGATTTTATTTTACATTTTTTTTACGGTTTTCACTAAAACAAAAGAATCCAAAGAAACGAAAACTGTCGAATACAATTCTAATAGTTTTGTCTGGAATATTTATGTATAAATCGACTAAAATATACACGGTCACTTATACCCTAAACCATGTCAAATAGAATTCAAAATTTAAAAATGGCCTTACGTAATATTACAAAAAAAAAAAAGTTAAAAAAATGATTAATGAAAAACAGATTTTGTAAAAATATATTTAAGAAAAAAAATAATGAGAAGCGTCGCAAATAATTTAAATGGTGCAATACCTTTTGTTTTTTTAATAATTATCCAATACTTCAATTTTAAATATTGATTAAAATGTTTTAGGCATTGTTCTCAATACAACTTACTACAGTTTTAAAACAAACGATTGCAGTGAATGTGTCGCACGAAGAATATAGCATCAAAATATTATAGTAAACTTATATTTTGATGATAATATTATTGTTTTGATTAAAACGTGTATTTTAATTAAATTTAATTATTTTATTCTTTTTATTTCTCGATTTTAAATGGTATTAAATTATAATAAATTTATACTTGGACAAATGCAAAATATCTACGGGTTTTAATCATAATATACATAAAATACAAATGTGTTTATTTATTTAATGTTTTAACATCCCAAAAGAATAATGAGTGCAGTCAAATAGGTATAAAAAAGATTTTCGAGAAAAGGATTTGCCGTATTTGCGTCTTTTTCTAAAGGTCAGTGTAGTCAAGAATGCGTGTTCACGTAATCATTTTTAAACAATCATTGTTGTCGTGGAAACGCAAATTGTTGTAATCATTTTACCATTATATGACAGACATATAAAATGATATTGACAAAGCAACACTATCAATTGAACTCCGCTCAAAATCGTTTATTTATAAGTAATAGTTTATTATTGCTTACAGATATACATTAAATTCCCGTTTGTATCCTAATTCCCCAGCTTCCGACCAACAGCGCCTACTTCCGAAGTATGTCCGTCCTTTTTTTAAGTAACTCTTGAGAAAAAAAAATGAAATCAATTTTGTTCATTGTTTACCGTAAATCAAAATACTAAAAGTATGTAGTTAATGTGGACTAGCTTTGATACATATATAGATTTCACATGAAAGTTGTAGGCTGGAGCGTTTGCAGTCATTTTTCTCAATCGATCCCAAACATTGAACATGTACATTATATGTTATATAGAAAAACAATGCATTAAATTATCGGAAATTATAGGTATTTTGTATTCTGAGTGGAGCGTCATTTTCCCTTTTCTCAAAATTGTTCTCATTACTTATGAAAAACTGAAAAAAAAACGGGAAAATAAACGAAATATATTACTAAAATATTACGATTTTTTTTTCTGTGCAAAACTTTTCTACCAGCAATTTTACTCCAATTCACAATGATAGCATTTTTTCTGAAAGGAAATCTGACAGGGAAGGTACTTTAAGGCTTTTTTCAATTTTCCCAGTTAATGTGAAAATCTGTGAAAAACACGGGAAAATCGGGAAAAACGTAAGAAAAACGGGAAAATCGGTACAACATTAAACAAATATTATTAAAGAAAATATACCTATTTAATTATTTTACTATAATATGAGAAATATATTGTTGAAAAAGCATCGTTATTAGTTGAATTCCGCTCAGAATCGTTTTTTCGTTAGCAATGATTAATCATTGCTTACAGGTTTTTGGTATAGTGTATACATTAAATTATCTATAAAAGGTGCTGCACCTGTCTCCATTATCCTACGACAGCTTTTTTATTTTAAACTTTCTTTGTGTGATTGATGTAATTTAATAACTAGTTTATTAAACCAAGTAAAAATAAATACAAATTTTACTTTTATTTTTTTCTGATAGCTACATAAATTACGATTTAAAAAATGTTTTCTTGATTATACAACTAATTATTTTATAGGTTGTGGCTCAGGTAATTAATTTTTCATTTGTTTAAGTTTATAAAATAAAAATATATCTATTTACATAATTTATCTAAATAAAACACATCACTATCCAGCTTCCTTATCCTGGAACTCGACTTTGAAATTCTAATTACAAATTTCACGACTACCCAGTATATAAATACTTTTGTGTTAATAATGCAGAACCTTTTATTTGAAAGCTAGTAGATATATTTGAATATTTATATGGATAAATTTGAATTATTTTTTCCCTCGTATAATAATTAAAATTGTTTATTCACAATCCCCTATAAATATAATTAGGACGTAAAAATATATTGTTAATAATAGATACAATATCTATAATACATTAAAATATATGAAAAAATTTCAAAAAAATTTTGGCCTAGTTTGTAAGATTTGCTCGAGTTTCCTTTGAGATTTCACCGGACTGTAACAATAATATTACTTCGGATGACGTGTCTATACGTTTCCTGTGTTATATACTAACCGGGGAGAAGAATGGAATTTTCGCGTACCATCGTATGCACACTCGTTTCCATTACATTCAATATTATTATCATATCGTCGGAAGTTGAAATATATCATCAGCAGCATTCACCATGCTCTGTTTCAGTATACTCGTTATGCTCGGGAATCTCTAGGCACAGCGCGTGCACAAATGGAAATTCCATAATAATAATAATAATAATAATAATGGACTTCCAAAAGATAGAAGTGGCGCAATGACGTTTTTTGGTTTATGTAGTACAGAGTGTTCCAGAAAAGAATGGCTAACTCTACGGAGTGTTACTTTATATATGACTATAAGAATAGGGTTTTTGGAATTTTTTTTTCAATATCAAAAATATTGGTTTTTCCGGTTTTATTTGTAAATATCCATGTATTTATCAATCAATATCTATTAATTGTGAAATCGTTTTTTTACACGATTTGACTATGGTAATTGATAATTTAAGCCGGATTCTATAAAAAAAAAAAATCAATTTCTAATCAACACTTGAAGCTTTTTCTCGTATAATGGCTGAAGTATATGTATTTTAATATTGAAATACTTATATATCTTTTGCAAATGGGTGGGGATATAACTCCAGACCTCTAACCTTCCCTCCTGCATACGTCACTGAATGATACTAATGTCAGGTTGCAAAACTCCACGACCAAACTAGTTATTGGACCAATGCGGTATATTCGAAAAAGAGATTGAATGATGCAGAAACAACTTACATTCTTTATTGATTCGATAAATAACCACTCGATATTTTGAAGGCATGATTTTGATTCGATAATTATTAAAAACCATATTTGACATTTCTATTGACATTTAGACCAAAACTTTATTAAACTAATTTTACAATATATTTTTTAGTTCATAAAATATTTTAAACTAGTTATATTACACTGAAATAAATTCATTTGAATAATATGCATGAGACATGAGTGCACGGAAAATAATTTTTGTTTATAATCATCCTAATCATATTATTAAAGTGAAACTTTATTTGTTTAGATAGATGGTTGGATGGATGTAATGTATGTATGTTTGTTACCACTTTTCGTTCAAATTGTTGAACGCATTGAGCTGAAACTTTGTACATATTAATCTATAGACCAAGGATAACACACAGGCTACTTGTCTCCTCATATCTTTGTATTATAGACCTAAAGAGAGGGTTACACGGGACGATTGGTATTTTTTAGTTAGAAAATCTAATTCGTCGATTTATGGGTGACCTTGACAACAAGAATGAAAAAAAAAAGTTAAAACAAACAAAATAAAATAAATAAATAAATAATATGGTAATTTGTGGAAGAGCCGTAATGATTTTCTCGATGATACAATGAATAGTAGTTACCATAGAAACGGGTTACTTGTTTCATTTTTGGATTTGTCGGTAATTAGATTGAAATTTCATTTAAAGATATTACGACACTAAAGTGCCAAAATA